ATATTCTTAATGTGGACAGAAAGAAGAAACGAGTCGATCCAGTTTCGACTGTCTGACTGTCTGTCAGAGATTATACATATGCGTATAGATTACTTATACCTGTTCTTCAAAACGAGGGAGTCAGGATTGACGAAGAAAGTCAACCTTTTTTCTAATAATCATTTACACTATGTTAGCTATATGAGATGTGTTGTTGGAATTGACTACAATAACTTATTTGAAACCAAAGTATAACCTTTAACTTTTATAAATTATAGGCCGAAACCAGTATTCGCTTTGGTCAAATTTCATTTTCTAGAAATCTTATTAGATTTGTAGATATTGTTTTGGAAACTCCTTGTTTTGAGTATATTTTGGAGCCTTCACAAAGAAGCAACTTGTATTTGGCATGCACAGATTAATATTAAGACACTAAACTACACATACGATATCTATGAAGTGCAGCCAAGCAGCTTCCTTTATTTGCAGTCATTTATAGGGTATCTCTACTCCGTTTCTCTTAACAAACGCTAACTCACATTTATTATAGCATACTTTTGCGGGCACATTTACCTAGAAATGTTGCTTTTTGTGCAGCTGTTCGGCAGTCGTTTCGTTTGTCGCTGCATCGCCTTAAAGCCATATAAATTCTGCTCTTCCCAAAATGAAAATATATATATAGGTATATATAGATATATGAATAGTACATTTTTATGTCGCTACTCCGGCTTGTTCAATGAAGCGTGTGCGACGCTTTATCGCTGCCATATTCCTGGATTCCCGCCTAACACTAAACTGGCACTGTCTGTTTCCCAGCAATTCTTTTTTGGGATTTGATTTAAACGCTTTTGCCAGCCATGTGGGTGGATTGTGAGTGGGGAGAGGGGGGGTGGTGAGGTGATGGCATGTGCCGCAATCATCGTCAGAAATGGTTTATTCATGCAGCAGCCGCATTATGCAAATAGCTCTTCAGTTTCCCTGCCACGCCTCTTTGCAGCGCCTTTCGTAAAGCACTTGAAATTTGATTTTATTTTCTGTGTTTTTACTTCGTTTTTTTTTATTTTTCTCTCAATTTCTATTTCGATTTGTTGCAACATGGAACTGGCAATAGGGAGCATGAGTAGAGGTGGCAAGATGAAGCCACTTCTTGCTGTCCCGATTGTGAGTTGAGCACAAGTTGAGTGCCACTTGCCAAGGAATATCAGCAGCGGGGGATGGGGCAGGGGCAACACAGTTGCTGCTGGGATTCAAAAACAGAAAAAGTGACTAGCGCAAGATTTTTATATCTTTCTTTTTGGAGGGGAGGAGATGAGTTTGGGGGCAATTGAACATTCAACAACAACAAATTCGTCTCATTTCTTGGGTAATTGCATTATTCAGCTCACAACTTTGCCTTTCACTGACGATTAAGCGGCTCCAAATAACAGCAAACATTTAATTTATTTTTACGTTTTTCTTTCGCTTGCTTAGAAATTTACATAGAAAACAAATTACTGAGGCAAAACCAATTTTCGATTTAAAAAACGAAAAAACGAAAAAAAGAAAAGCAGAAAACACAATTCCAGAGCTATGCTTGGGTCTTGGTTGGTGCTATGCAAAATCTTGATGGCAGACAGGCACAAACTGCAGGATGTGACAAATGTTGTGCAAATATGTCGCCTCCCACTTGATCTGCCCCTATATATATATATATATATATATATATATATATATATATATATATTTATGTAGCATTTTGTTAACACACACGCGTATCCTTGAGCTCGCAAATCCCAGCAGAAGAGCAACCCAACCCCAACCCCTAACTGCCCCCACCCCTATACATATTTAGGCATTGTGTTTGCTTTTAACAAAGGCAAAAGTAATTCAAGCGTTCAACGCATGTATTCCTTGATATATATATGTATATATATATATATATATATATATATGCAGCAGGCATAGGCATGTCTTGGAACTCGCAGATGACAATGACGATGAGGATGACGATGACGATGAGAAGCGCACAATCTTGACAGCGGCATCTTTTATTTTCAGGACATTTGTATACCCTCGCGAGGGTCCATTCACTTCATGTCAGAGCAGACAACGCTACAATCAAAGAATTTCTTACTTTTGCTCTTTTTACGCTCTTCAGCAGCTCTTGTAGTAATAGCAATCGTATAGCTTATACTTGTGCTAATCGCATATTTGTCTTCCTGAGCTGCTAGCTAAATGGCTATGGCAATTACATTTTCTATTATATTGTTAAATGATGACATCGATTGCACACCGTTGATCAGCCAAATGTATTTTTCTGTTTCCTCTAGAACTAGAACCCGTTACTTCTGTTATCAATTCAGAAACTTCTATTTATATCATTAAGTACTACATTTTGAACTTCCTGTCTTGGCAATAACAGGATGGATTTGATATAAAAAGCATTAATATTAAACACTTTTTTGAAAACCAGCTTATAATATAAGTTATGTTATATCCATCAACCAGTATTCTACCTGGAGTTAAAGTTTAAAAAATCAACTTTATCAAGAAATTTATTGTATAGCAAATATAGATTTAATCCTTGCAAAGTTGAATTTCTACAAGAGTATTTAACATTCCCCAATGACCGACCATTCCCTCTTCTAGAGGTCAAACCATGATCAAAAAAGGACCTGAATTTTAAATATAATTTCGCTGCCCCAATTGAAGAATAAAATTAATGAGTTGGGGCAGCTAAAGCACTGACAGCATTTTGTCTGTTTTACTTGTGTGCATAAATATGCACAATTTTAGATAACGATTTGAAATTCTATTTCTTATTCAATTCAACGGCACACATCAATAAACTTCTCTGCTGGGGATGTTGGCAACTTGCTATGTACAATTTCAATATTTACACAAAAATGCATTGCAGCCTCATCAACATCAATAAATAACTCAAATCATATCAAAGCATGCTATGCGTATACGCAATATTTGATATGTGAACAACACTCAAAGAGAGAAGTGCTTCAAATTTATGCACGTTAAAAGATACAATTTCATTTCGAATATTTGCATAGCAAGGAATGTAATTCAATATCGATTGGTGTTGACTAAAAGATACCCTGTAGACAGGTGAAATTGCTTATTAAATATTCAAATTGTTTATTAAATATATCAAGTGAGACTGGGAAAACATATATAGAATTTGTCATCTCTTCTCTATCTTCGCTGACATGGTACCCCTTTGAGTTTTAACCATTAAACAGGGTATACACATTAGACCTCTGCTCATATTAATTGCTCAACGAGCAACAGGAAAATTCAAATTTATATTGAAATTTTTGATTTTTTATTGCTGTCCATTTATGAAGAGGAAAATCCAATTCACCTTTTTGTGGTTCACTTTGCAGCTAGAACCATTAGCATTATTTACCAATCACAATGCAATCAATCGCAAAATCCTTATTCGCAAAACAACAGACGAGAGAGGGGAACGGGGGGACACCAATTCTGAAACACTTCGAATGAAATTCAAATTTGCAATTTGCGCTGCCTGTGTCTGTCATATTAATTAGCCCGCGCAGTTCAGATTGTCCCTCTCTCTCTCTCGCTCTCAATCTCTCTCTGTCGGTCTGTCTCTATTTTTCCGAATGACGCTGAAAACTAATTAAAATACCATGTCAATGAGCGAGCAGGAGGGCAAGAAGGGACAAAAAGGGACAGACGCCACATTATGCCACACCCATCAAACGCTAATCGAATAAATGTCATGAATGAACGCGCGCCCCAAAAAAAAAATCACAAAATCAGCAGCAGTGTTTGAGTTGAGCATGACCGACTAGGATATGCTCTATAAATACATAAATCAAATAAACATTCGCTTATTGAGAGCAGTCAAAGTGTGCTCAACTAAGAAACAACAAGTTCCACACTACTTAAGCAAATACAGGGTATTCAAATATCCACACAAACCCCCCTCCCCCCCTCACACACACAGACAGGCATCAACAATCCAAGTAGCTGGCTCCCGTTGGGGGAAAGGGGGTTCGAATTCAATTCATATTCATTTGGGCGCCCAGCAAGTGGCATTTGAAATGACAGCGAACAATGAAATCAAATTAAAATACACTTTAGACGCTCAGTGAATGAATCCAGCGAATCCAGCGAATCCAATGAATCAAAGGCTAAACAATACAATTGCCAGCTCGGACAACGTGGGTGGCTTGTGGGGGACACGGGAGAGATGGGGTTGGTTGGGTGTCGAGAGTGCTGTTGCTAGTGACAGGCCTTGAAAAATATGTGTTATAAATTTGAGTAAAATTAAATTCAGGTTTCAAGTGTGTTTCGTCTGCTTAAATTAGGCGGCCATTAAAGTGGCATTCATAATTGCCCCATAAAATTAACTTCATTTGCGCGAAAGAACCATAACTTAACAGCGTAGAGCGGGGTAGGTAATAAAAACATATTACGTGTAAATTAAAAAACAAAAAAAAGCGAAATGACAAATGGGATTTGACTTTGAGTATGCAAAGCAGACACACCAAATACGCTTCGGCTGGATGAAGTTGAAGAGAATGGATAAATCGCTTATCGCTTGAGTCGTGAATTTCTGTTCCTCAAGATCTCAGAAAAAAAATGCTTCAAAATGAAAACCGAAATGAAAACTAGAAAGTTTTTCTTGTATAATAATAATTTCTAGATGAAACAAAATAAAAAAAAAACAAATTTAGAATTCCATTTAAAGCCCTGAAATTAGAAATATTATTTCTACCATGTAGAAAAATTAAGAAAAAGAAAGACTCCGCTTAGAAATATACTCTCTGATTAACAACTAGTCAAAGTATAACTTGAACTAATTAATATATAATTTTGTGCAGCTTAGCCAAATCTAAAATACCAGTTTGAATATTCTTGTTGCTTTTATTGATTCCTCCTTGGACAATTATAGTTCAATGTGAGTATGACAATCTAAATGAATGAAAGTGTTATGTTGCAAACAATGACTTGCAAATTAGCAATTGGTAATTGTTGTCCTTTGTTTCCTGGGCTGCATTTTATGTTATTTGCACGTCTTCTTCTTGAAGGTCACGCTCGGTTTCTTCTGCCATTTGAGCGATGCTTGTGGGCGTGTCTACAGGCACACAATCTGGCGTAGAGGAGTCTGCCTGGTTCAGCAGAGGCTCTGCAGCCGGCGCTTTTCTTTTGAATGAATGCAGCTTAATTCTTTTACCACCACGTGGCTTATCTCCCTCTTCCGAGTCACTGCTGCTGTATGCGTCGCTTGAGCTGGAAGTTTCGTCAAAATCGTCGTCGTCGTTCTCGTCGTCTTCGTCATCATCATCGTCAACGCCGCCGTCATCGTCACCTCCGCCGTCATCGTCATCACCGCCGTCATCGGCATCGTCTTTGCCATCGCCGTCGTCGTCATCGCCATCGTCATCGTCGTCGCTGCTGCTGCTGCTGTTGTCGTCAAAATCCCTGCTTTTCATAAGCATATATTGCCAGGCAAATAACTTTCCACTCTGACGTGGTGGCTCCTTTTTGCGGTGGAGCAGCTCCGCCTCCGCATCGGAGGTGGGTGCGGCGTATGGGCTGCCGCTGCTCATCCGGTCGTGTGGCATAACCTTGCCTCCACGTCGGACCGGTAGATGTGGTTGATGTTCCTCTGGCTTTTCTTTCTTTTGCGAGTTGGGCAACTCCTCCGTCTCCGTCTTGATTGACGGTGTGGAGCACAGGCCACCAACGTCGCCATCACATTTGCTGTCGAGAAGCATGGACTCGGGCGGGATTACCATACCACCTAGTGGACGTGGTTGCGCCAATTTCTCCATCTTGATCGGTGGTTCGTCGCTGTTGTCCTTGCCTTGCAACATTTTTATGTTTATTAACTGGATTTGGTTTTATTTTTACGATTTCTATTTTATTTTTTATATTTTTGTATTTTAGTTTTCCGGACACTCTGACGCTTAGCAAGTGACTCGACACGATTTGACATCAAATGAGCTGGAATGAGAATTTGTCGCACCTCTGCTATCCTGAGGCGAACAAAACAATGCAGAGCTGATTTCAATTTTTCAACTTGTCACTCGTTCCCAAGCAAGCAAAACGGGCACCGTTGATTTCGATAGAAATCACTCAGATTTCGATTTTATACTTTTTTTGAAAGTGCCGCTCCTACGGCACAAAGCCCAATGTAAAAATCGAAAAATAAAGCTAAAGACTTGAAACTTGGACATTTCTTAGCTAAGACCAACACGCACTCAAAAATTCAGAACTATCACCAACATTAAAAGCCACATTAACAAATATTCAATAGTTTTATATACTTCTATTTAATTACTTATACTTCCAAGCTTCTGGACACTTCTTAACCCAAACCGCACCCCCAAGAGCTAAAAAGTTACATTAATATATATTCATTGGTTTCGTAGACTTTACTTTAATGCTGGTTTTTGTAGACTTCTACTCAATTTCAGGTTTCTTTATATCTGCCTTACATTAATGCAACTCCAAGTTTCCCTATGGCATATTTAGTAAGTTTATCAAGAACTCTGGCAAAGAATTTTAGGGTGTTTTGCAGTCTCTACAAGTGATATTCCATCCACAACTTATCCAAATTCCAACTAACCATAATTTACTCTGTTTAGTTAACAATCAAAGACATGGAGCATAATAAAGTTATTGCCTGCTTTGAAAGCCAAAGTGAAAAGACAAAATGTGCTTAAAATGCGAGCAGCGCTCTAAATTCATTAACTGCATAAGGCACACACTCGAATAGACTCTCACAAAAACACACACATCTGGATGCAAAGAGACACGCGAGCTTTTGCTTGTGGAACGCAATTTGAGGCACGCTTTAAGCGGCTTAGTGAAAGTCCTTGGCAAAAAGCAAACAGCAACGAGACTGAAAAATAAAATGAGCATAAGAAGCAGCCTCCACTTCGTGCCACCGCAGCAGCTGCCTCATTGAGATGTGTGAGTGTGTGTGTGTGTGTGACAGAGATTCGTTTGGCGTTTAAATAACTTTGACGCCCTTTTTGCATGCCCACACGAATGTCTCTCTGAGTGTGTTGAGTGTGTTGTGTGTGTTGTGTTGTGGCATTTCCGCTTCGAATGCCTTTTACGGCGCATCGTAGAAAGAAATGCGACTTTTGCGCACATAAAGTAAGCAGCTCAAAGATAAAAGATAAGAGATAATGTTAGGTAAGAGCGGAAATAAAGAGAGTCTCTTAAATTAATGAATCTACTTTGGCTAAAAAGTCGTCGCTCGTCACTCAAATGCTATCAAAAAATTGAAGCCATATACAAAGATGCTTGAAAGTAGCTTTAAGCTAAGCACATTTGACAGCAAACACACTCAAAATAATCAAAATAAAAGTCTAAAAATAATGAGAACGTGACACAAATATTTTTACTCTTGGGAGTTGAATTAATCTGATGTTCTTAATGTTGGATAATTATAATCTCAGCTCAGGGAAACGGAATTCGGTACCATAATAAATCAGGTTGTCAAATCAAATTTTAATTCTGTCAGTCTGAGAGTTACGGTTAAGATAATGAAATGGTTCCATTTATTTCTCGGTTTTCGATTCAGTTACGATAGCTCATTGGCTAGTAATATAACTGATATAAATATTAAATTCCAGTTCCACTTTTGAATGTGTGTCGCCTATTTGACATCCTGTTCCTTAATATATTCGAGTTAGCATTTCCAGTAACATTTTCCTTTTCAAATTTAATTTGATTAGCAAAGTATCTTTTTGTCCCATAGTGCAGTGCCAAAACAAACTTTTTGTAACGTCTACATTGACAGGGCCAAGGGAAATTCAAGTGCGTTGCCAGTTAAGGAAATAACTACACACAAACTCGCATACACAGTCATACATACACACACACACACACACACACACATACACACACACACACACTCAGCGAGAGGGAACATGTGCTCATATGTAGCCCTCGTTACAATTTCGCCTCATTGCCAAATCTAAGAAAATTGCCGCCTCGCGTCTGCTCCCCATTTAGAGTCCTACTCCTGTTAACCCTGCAACCCCATGTACCATTTCCCCCTCCCCCTGAGCCTCGCCCCCACCGCTTGTAGCCGGAAAACATATACCGTTAGCAATTTGTTTTGACAAGTTTTCGAGAGTAGAGCGATACAAGTAATTTGTCTCGCTTTATATTTTGGCAAATTGTCGCAATTATCATTTCGTTTTGTGCGCATCTTCTTTTTAGCGGGCGGGGGGCGGGGTGGAGTCAAGCCTCTCCTCTCTCTCCAGCCACTCGCCTCCCACTGCTTCTGCCCGTTTTTGAAGCATTTGCAGCGCTAATGAGACAAAACAGCCGTCATGCATTCGGCATTGAGACGCCTTCAAGTATGCAACACAATTTTGCGCAAATTTAAAGCCACATTAGACGAGAAGTAAAGAGGGGGTAGAAGGGGTAAAGGGTTAGGGGTGGTGTGGGGCGTACTGTGGTGCTTATAGAGAGACTCAACTGCACTTCCCTTTCCGCTGCGTCAACTAGAGAGAGAAACATTCTGCTACGACTACAAGTCAAGTTCTATTCCGGCTGAGAATGATGAGGATGATGTTGTTGATGATGATGATGATGACGATGATGATGATGATGATGACGATGGCTGACTGACAGACACACGGACTGACAACAACAACAGAGCGCACAGTCAATGCCAGTGGCATCAACATGTCTTTCAACACTTTTTATGCGCAACTATTTTGCATATGGCAAACACAAAGTAGAAGCAAGGAGAAGAAACCCCTCAAAGCGAGCGTGCTGTGGTTTTAATGTGTATCTATATGGGTGTGTGTGTGCGTCTGTGTGTGTGTGTCTGTGTGTGTATGTGTGTGTGTGCTGTTGTCAGTTTCCTGAATATTGATGTTTGCAGCTTAACGCAGCAACGACTTGAGGCATGCAACGTAACTGTCTCGTAACTGATACGCTATATGTACAGACATATATATATAGATGTGGGATGTGGCATGTGGCATGTGGCGTGTGGCGTGGGGAGGAACATGCAGCACGTTGTTCACCATTAAGGTCGGCAACTTTGGCTGCTTTGGCTGCTTTGGCTGCTTCGGCAGCTTTTGCCTCACCCTGATTCTTACCACCATCAGCTACACCAGCTACACCTACAGCATGTATATGTGTGCGTGTATTTATCAAAGTCCTTCTACGTTGGCCGCCATTAAGCTTGGCAGCACTTTTCCACAATCCAACAGACACCAGCCACACCACTATCATCCTTCATCCTTCATCCTGCAGCCTGCATCCTTCATCTGCCTCTTGCTTCTTGCGCCATTGTAAACAGATATGCGGGCGAAATGTGTGTGCCTGTGCATGTGTGTGTGTGTGTGTGTGTGTGTGTGTGTGTGTGTGTGGGATATGTGTGTGTTTTAGTGGTGATAAGAAAGCAAGTGCTGCGAGATAAGCAAGTTGCTGTTGTTTTTCTATAGCCATGAAGCCATTACAAGTGCTTAAAAATGGTATAAGAAAGTTGCTGCAGGCAACAGAAAGCATCTGCGAACCCATTAAAACATATATATATATACATATTCTTGATCAACATCAGCAGACGACTAGATAAAGCCATATAAGAATATTCTTTACCATATGCAAATCATGTTTACTTCATGTTATCGATTCAGATTAGCAAACATCGATAAAAATCGATACCAATAAGAAGTCACAATTGTAAAGATATAAAATTGGAGATATTCAAACCAGATTAGAAATATTTAAACTAGTTTTCTCAATTTCATACATTCGTTTCCCCATTATTGATATAAATCGATTACCGATTGCAATTAAAACAATTTAAGTACAAAAATCTACATAAATTCTAATAATCCTCTAACAATCAACCCAAGCTAAGAGCAAATAACTCCGATAAGCTGGCATTAAGGTATCTTCCCCGTCGAGTGCTCTCGACTGAAACATTCTTACAAGCTGCTGTTATTGAAACTACCGCAAACACGAACAGTGGTAGTTGTAGTTGTAGTTGTAGTCGTAGTAGTATAAGAAGAAGAAGCACAAGTGCAAATTTGAAAGGTTTTTGACATTGCTCCATCGGAGTTTTGCAGTCTCTTTTGTGTCTCTTTTGTTTTCAAGTTTACTTTGCTGTTTACTTTACGGCTACGCTTCCACCCCTGCCCCACTCCCCGCTCTTCACACTCGTCAACTTGAGCTTCAGTCAACCAGTCTGGTCATGTCTTTAAGCCATAACGGAAAATGCACTTGGCTCACAGATTTCACGAGCAGAGCGAGCGGAAATTACGTTTTTATGGCACGAAAACAAAGTTTGGCATATCAAAAATTATTAGCAATTTAATGCACGACTAGTCAAGGGAGTCCAAATATAAAAAATAAAATCTAAGCAGCACAAAGCACAAAGTGTCCAGCGATCCAGCTGAGCTCCAACCCCAACCGTAACCCTAAATTCAACCCCAAGCCCCAATACCAACCCCAACCCCAAACTCAACTCTCAACTCTTGTCGCGTGGCAAATTTCACTGACGCCAGACAGTTGCCATAACAGTTGCTGTAGTAGTTGCAAGCAGTGTGGCAACGGGGCAGCAAGCCAATGCAGTGGGGTAGCTGGTGGCATCACTGGATTCTGAATATATGATAAAAACAACATGTTCTTAGCTCTGGCTTATACACTATGCCAAAGTGCAGCATTTTGGGAGGAATTTCTATTTGGGAAGTAAGCTTTATCTACTCAGAAATCTGCTTCTTTCTCTTCTTTTTTTTAACACTATAATACTAAATTTTATATCAATTTAAATTTGGAAAGACTATTTTTAAGCAAGCAAATATCATCATGATGTTTTTTTAGATTGATTTGCCACTTAGTCGTTAATTTGAATTTCTGCTGCCACAAACATTTTATAGGGCATTTAGCGACCACTTTGCGGCACTAGATTAGCTTCCAAAAAAAATGTGCATGTTTTGCTTTGAGCAACAAACAGCTGCAACAAACAGCATCAGCAGCAGTTTCCGTTGCTCTTGTTGTTGCAACATTGTCGACGTCATCTGCTTTGTCCGCTGCGCCACAGCGTCTGCCGCACATTGGTCCAGCCGTCTGTTTCGTGTCTGTGCGTCTAATTTAAAATTATGCAACTGTTTTTTTGCAACGCTTTTTGCGGCTGCATTTTCAACCCGATCTTCCCCAATCCCCCCGCCCCCTTTTGGGGCACTATAATTTCCCAGTGGCACCCATTGACTTGTGCAGACTTTTGTTGTTGCTGTTGTGGCTGCTGCTATTTTTTTGGGGTCACGCGTTGCAAGCCCCCAAACAACGGTAATAAATCATCAGTCGAGAGCGAGACAGCAGCATACAGATCTCTCTCTTTCCCTTTCGCTCTCTGTCTCACTGGCTGTTTTTGTTTTTCATTCGCATCGTTATCACTGACTGCTGCAATCGACAGCAGTCCCTTCCCCTCCCCCACAGCCCAGTCACACCCCATTCCATGCCACATGCATAAGCAAAAAAAGCACATTAATCAATCCCTATACAATGTCTGGCTGTGTGTGTTCTGTGTGTGTGTGTGTGTGTGTGTGTGTATACCTTATGCGTGGTCTGTGGTCCACATTGTACATATATTTCCATTGTTGATGTGCCACAACAAAAAGAACAGTTACACGCTTGGCGAACTCAGCCACAACAATAACAACAAGTTGGAAAAAATAATGTGCAACACTCGTGAAAATTTCGTCCTTTTAAAATGATAAAAGACAAAAAAATATATTCAAAAACCAAAATATAAATTCAAAAATATAAAAAGTTCGCTTATGCTGCAAATATTTATGGGGCAGCAACGAGCAGCGAGCGGTGAATTTATTTCAATTTATTTTGTGACCAAGCGATAAATGTTGGCCATAAATTTGGGCGCATAAATCGCCAAGTGAGCCGCACTCAAATCGCTTCTGCTTTCTGCTTCTGCATTTGAATATTGAATAAACACAATCAAATTAAATCGTGCGTATTCATTAAAGTGTGCACGCTATAAATAAATAAACATAATTCAATTAGCATCGTAAACTTTTAATTAAATTACAAACAAACAAAAAATGCCACAGTGCTCGCTGGCGAAGTTGAACCATCAATGAAGTTAAAAATAAAAGTAAACAAAACTTAAATTTTAATTAAAGTTAAATATATTTAAAAATTATATCCGAATTTTAAAAATCATTAAATCACTTATTGAAGAGCTTTAAATATAAGTTGAAGTCCAATTTTAAAAATATAGCCTCCAAAAACATATATTTTTCAGAAGGTGGGCTGAATTTTTGAAAAAAAATGTAAACACACATTTTTAATCAATTATTACTTTGATCATTAATGTCATAAAGTGTTATGTAAAAGTTGAAAACAATTTTCCATAAATAAAATTTGCAAACTTATAAATCAATTTCCAATAATAAAACAATTTAAATAAAATATGGCTATTTTTGTATTGTTGTTGCAGATACAACAACCACAATAATGACATTGAAATGGCGCCAGAAATACAAAAGCAGAAAAAGGCCAAAGAAACTGAAACAACAACGAACAACAATTGCAGCAACGACAGAAACAAATGCAACAAACACTGCCACAGAAATACCAAACATAAAAATCAACAGACTGAGTGGAAGACGAGACAACAAATGGCAATCAAGTGAGCGCCACAAAACGTTGCACAAAGTGTCGCGACTAACAACACAACAATGTGCTGCAATTAAGGCTTCCAGCTGCAACAGCAGCAACAGTTGCAATAGCAGCAAACGTCAGCGTCACACAATGGCGACGTCAACGTCGACGCTGACGCTGCTCCTCTCACTCGCTGCAGCAACAGCAGTGGCTGCCACAGCAGCAGCAGCGGCAGCTGCATCCACATCAAACGTGGCCAGGCCTGCCAATTTCTCCAACTTCAACTCCAATTCGAATTCGGCTTGTTCCCTGTCCGAATTTAGCTGCTCGAATGGACGCTGTGTGCCACTCAGCAAATTCTGCAACAACAACAACGATTGCGGCGATGGCAGTGACGAGCCACGCTTCTGCACACGTAAGTAGAAGGGTGCATCGGGGGTTAGAGGGGGTTGATTGACACACAGTTGATGCATGCAGGTTGATGCCAATTATGCAAAGCTGTCCGAGCAGATTAGCCCCACAAACCTGAGGGTGAAAGCAGCAGCAGCCGCAGCAGCCTCTTAATAAACCTTATAAGAGGAGGGAGGGGAAAAGAGGGGGGGGAGTCGTGGCTAGTCAGAGGGCAATGAAATCAAGTCTTCCTTTTTTTTTTTTCTCTCTTTACGCACACTTTGCTATCGCAGATATTCAAACTTTGGCTACAGTTCGCAAGAAAAAGTTAAAATAAAAGTTAAAATTGCTAAATGAGCATTAAAACTGTAGACATTAATCGCATGCTCATCCAATTATTTTAAGCTTTGATAACACACAATAAGAGATTATCAGCAACAAAACAAAATTGACCTTAAGCTGCTCAGTAAACATTCATTAAACTGACAAAAACCAAAGCAAAAGCAGAGCTTTTGTCGCGTGATACTGAAAAGAACAATGTCTACTCAATAAAGATTCTCTTATGCTCTGCGCACTCTTTATTCACCTCTCTTTTGATCTCACTCTCCCACCCGCTTTCTCTCTCTCTCTCTCTCTCTCTCTCTCTCTCTCTCTCTCTCTCTCTCTGACATTTGCAATTAATTGCAAATACAATATTTCCATAAGTTTTTTTCCCCACAATACGATTTTCTCTCCCCACCGCTGCCAATCATGTGTAAATGTAATTAAGCACTCTCATACTGAAGTACACGCACACAAACACAACCGATTGGTTGAAAGGAGGAGGAGAGTGGGGTGCTCATAATGACAAAGTGAACTTCTCACATTGTAAATTTGCTATCTCCCTCTACCTCTCTCCCATTCGCTCTGTCTCTCTCGCTTGTCAACCGTTATGTGAAGCATTGATGAATTTAATTAAGTATTTTACAAAGGCATTCAATGAGGCAGCATGGACAGCAGCATACACAAAAATATTAATAATAATAACAACGCGTAGGGTGTATTAATTACAAAACAGGAGCGCACCTACGTATATAGAAATATTGATGCTTGAGTGAACAATCAAGCTTTCAATAAAACCATAATTTCAAGCACGACTTATTTCTTCATGTTTTCCAGTTGACAAATTACAGTTGGTTTTGCTTTGTCCCTCCGGCAAAATGGAACACACACACACAAGCACATGTATTTGTAGTATGTATGTGTTTATTGGAAAGCAATCGCATTACAAGCACAATTATCTAATTGAATGCCGAGGATTGACCTCCGTTGAATGAATGCATTTTGAAATTGAATGAAATAAGACAACAAAAACAAAAATTATAATTATATCCAGGTATTAGAAGCCAAATTGAATGGAAATCCGATAATTCTGTGAATATTATCATGAATAAATCTCAGGACTTTTTAATAAAACTAATTGAGAATCTCATTTGCCAAAGATTGAACAATTGCCATGCAAATTGAATTTCTGCTGGTCTTTCTCAAAGCTTAAATTCCATAAAATATGCATTCATATATCATATGCAAATATGCATCTGATGAAGAAAAACCGACGGTAAATTCCAAGCAGAAAAGATGCCAAAGATAAAACGAAACAAAATACAATTTGCAGCCATAGCTGTCGTTTCGTAATAAGAAAATAAACAATTGAAAGATATTTTAAATTGTATTTTTTTAACAATGAATGCCGAAATAAGTTCAGCTCTAAGGCAAACTCCGAATTGAGTTAATTTTCCGTTACGCCGCTGTTAACTTTGCATTAAATTAACAGCTTATTCGTTTTGCTTATTTATTGCGTCAAACAAAAGCCATTTCATTAAGTAATGGTAGGTAATGGGAGTAGCTGCAGTTTGCGGTTGCCTTGGCAATTTACTAAATAAACAACATCAGCAAAACACAGCGTAATTGGTCAACTAACGCTAATTGCGTTGAACATGTTTTTCGCCACTGCTGCTAAGCAATTATGACGCGCTTCTTCTTCCTCTTTCTGTTAAGCCCTCTTCCTCTTCTTCTGCTTTCCAGGCTGTAATCGCACGTATTACGGGGACATTGGACAGACATATGCACTGGAATTACATCGACCCAAACAGGATCGGGTGCCCTTTGTTTGTGTGCTCACGTTCACAGCGGCGGGCGGACAACACGGCGATGTCGTCCAGGTGAGTTACAAGCAACGCACACCCCCTCCACCTGCCTTTCACAATTCATTTGCCAAGTGGAATAAACTAGTCCATTAAAAAGATAAGTAAAAGTCCAACAAGGAATATTGATTTCAAAGCCAGCCAAATCCCAGTCCCTGCTGGCGTGTGCAACGAACGAAGCGTAACTCCAATCGACAGCAGTTGCCTTCCAGCTTCACACCTTCCGGTGGGTGGGGTGTTGGAGGAGCTTGGCACGCTCGACTGCGTCGTGAGAACATCCTGCGAGGCAGCCAAGTAGCCATTGCCCTTACACTGTTATCTAGTTCAGAGCTACGTAACTGACCCAAACTTTATAGTGTAAGACAAAAACTACTTTATTTTTAAAAGGGACACCAGGAGCACTCCTGTGTGTAATGGGCAAGGTACTCATTTCATTGAGCAAGTGACACAATACAATTTAACATACACGATTGCAATGAGTGTGGCAAGTGACACGTATATCGATAACAACTGCAACTAGCATCAGCTTAACATAACATGTGCAATAAGATCAATAAGGCAATTGTTGCATTGTTCAAGTAAAAGAAAGCCTTCCAAAATCTTGAAAAAATAGACCTTAATACAACTATTCTTATAAAATATTTTTAAAAAATTACGTTTATTAAATGATTCTTACAAAATATCAAAGAAAGAGCCTCCTACTACTGATTTTTCCGCAATTTGAATCACAACTTATGTTAAAACATTCACGTTACTTAACATTCACTGTTATTAACATACTCTATTACATGTCCAGGTCACTTTGGACAGCTTCACCATTGGTCGCTTCACGAGCTATGTGCACGAAGGATGCCCCGATGGCTATATGCAAATCGCGGAATCTGCTCGCACACCGATTGGAGGCATGTGGTGTGGCAGCTCGTGGGGACCCGTTCTATTCTACAGCGAGACACGCTCCCTCATCTTCACCATCAAGCTGAACAGGTGAGTGTTCTGGCTAGTAGTTGACAGGAGCATCCGTTGCTAACTAATAAACTCTTTTCACTTTTCCCTTTCCAGACTTGCAAGGGATCAGAGCGGTTACAATTTCGACTTTCGCATCAGGTACAAGGTGCTCTCAAAGGACAGCTCTGTTACCCGCTACGGCGGCATTAAGCTTGCAGGTAAATCCAAAAAAAAGCACAAAGCCAATTTCATTCACTCCTTTGTAAACTCCAATTCTCTTTCTCATTTTTAGAGCTCGCCCAGTGGCACAATCGCAGCAGTTTTCTCAACCAGCAGCAGCAGCAACAGCAGCAGGCGGGTCAAGGTGCCCTGGAGGATTTTAGCAATGCGAGTGGTGCCCGTTCCGATCGCTATGGCCAGGACTTTAGTCTGTTCAGCGCCTATGCGAACAACAAAACCTTCATGGACTCGCTGGAGAAGCCGCTGCCCAAGGACGAGCACAACTACACTGAACCCAAATACTATCTGGGTGCGTGCTTAACTCACTTGTGGCTATCCTTGCAAAGCAGCCGACTGATAGCTTAACCGTGTATCCATGTTTCTTTTCTACACTCAAAAAATCGCCCTGCATAATATAAAATATTATCCAGTAAATTTAACTACCATTTTCTACATTTCAGAAGTATTTTTCCAAGAAATGCATTTCTTAATAATAGAAAATATTTTCAAAACTTTTGATTTTCGGGCGATTATTTATCTAAGTGTACCATTATCTGTCTTTCTTTTAAACCAATTAATATCATCCACTTTAATCTTTTGCACAGGCGACCTCATCCCGGGCACATATTGTTCGAGAATCTTCAGCGATTGCGACAAGAAGCCGTGTCGCCTGCAATCGCCCAACTATCCGGGCATCTATCCGCGCAATCTCACCTGCTACTATGCGGTGCGACAGGTGAGACAAACACACACACTCCCACACACACACATAACCTGCACTTTACGGCATTCTCGCAGGTGTCACAAAACTCATTCCCCCATCTCCGCCGACCAAGACAACATTAAGCCCCTGGAGAGCCGTATGTCAGTCTTTAGCGCCTCATTACGGCCTTCCTGCTCCTCCGCCAAGTGTCCTGGCGTGTCCCGTTGAGCGCATTAACACCGCCTTACATTAGCCCGCTTGGCTTTGTCCTTGTCTTGTGTTTGGCTCATAAAAATGCCGCAAAACCACAAAGAAAAAAATGAAAAAAAAAGAGCTTTTCGTTTTGAGCATTGACAAAGTTGAAAAGTCAAAAGCCAACGCAACCGAGTCGATTTAAAAGCAATTTACATTCCAAAGTAGAACGCATTTTTATTATAATTAACTAGGGGGAGGAGTCCGGTTGCTGGAGGGGGAAGGGTGTGTGGTAATATTTTTCAAGGTTTCCACAACAAGTTAAGCCATAAAAAAGTCCATTGTGCTCAGCAAGTGCTTGAAATGAAGTCTATTATACAATTGAGGTGTATATTACATATTATAATATTCCAGACTCTTTCATCTGAGCATTAAATATGGTAAACAGAGGAATATTCATTTAAGCTGGAGTATAAATTACAGCAGAACAATGAGGCTCACTCTATGTAGAAGAGAATCAAAAATTTAAGATCAATTTCAATATCAATTTATAAAGGAAGTTGAGTTTTGTTCCTTCCTTACAAATTATAATTTGTTAAATAATTAAAGACTTCACACGGACGAGCGAAAGTCATATTAAAAACCCAATTATTTTCATACATTTTAATCGAAGTCACGTTGCATCTAAAGTTTAGCTTTAAAGGGGGTTATTGCTGCCACACACACGCACACCACCCCTTCCGCCACTGCTTGGCTACCTACGCCCACGTAAATTAAATGAAAAAATAACTCTGTCAACTATTTGTGCTCATAAAATTCTTAAGTTAAGTTTTGCAAAGTCTTTTAATACTTTGTAGTAGGTATTATAAATTTGTAGTGAAGTATGGATCGCATGGAAGCAAATATCATGTTCTTCTATCTGTCTGTTTCCATACGAAATTATCCCTCAGTTTTAAAATGAATACGATATCAAATCGATCCAAAGATGAGTTCTTTTATAAAAAATGTTTATGCTTATAAAGATATCCAAATGAAACTTATGCGTTTTATGATGCTCCTCAAATTATTAAGAAAAAAGCATTTAGATCGGTCTACTAGATTATATAGTTCTTATAGAAACTATCTCTCATTTTTTCTAGACTCCAGCCTACCAGGGTATATAATATTCGTCGAGCCTAAGATAGTCAATCTTTCTCTTTATTTATTTATTGCAGGAATAGGGGCACCCCACCTAAAACCCAATCTGAGCAAAAAATGTTAAGGTTCAGATACTTTAGTAAGAAAAAATGAAGATAGATAGAGGAGAAGGTGGAGGAGAAGAGATAGGCCGCGATAGGGAAGAACACATAGGATAAGCTCTGAGGCTGAGGTGTTTATATAAATTAATCGGAGTTAAACACGTTCACAGATTTACCGGCATTTATAAATAATAAACGAAGCAGCCACTTATAAATAATAAACTAATGAGAAACTTAACATTGTACAACAATAGCAATTATTTGCAAGAATTCAGTTCATTAAGCTGCATTTAACCTGTGTTTGTGGTCTATTTGCATTTCTACATAAATATGAATATAGCACGACGTGCCCCATGGGAAACATGCGCTGATTGTCGTTAAACAGCCCAAGGGCAACCTGGTCTGGATATCAACGCAGGAAACGGCGGCCACAAACAAAATGGCGCCGCCGCCAAGTGCTCCCGGGGACAAGGATAAGAAATTTGAGCCGAAACTGAAAACATGGAACGACTGCGATTACATTCAGGTAATTAAATCTTTTGCCTTTAAATGCATTTTACTTTTGTCTACATTCGCTCCGACTTTAACGAGTGCTCCGGCATCAAAAGCTACGGCCATTGGCCGGCGGAGTCCTTTTGCTGCTCCCGCCTCCCCCCAAAAGACAAACTGCGCAAAAAACGTACAAATTGAAAATGAAAGAAATGAGCAAAGCTCGACAAATCTGTTGTTTGCACATTTCCCAGTTCCCAGTTCCCAGTACCCAGTACACAATCCTGATGGCATTGTCCGTTTCTGACTGTGGCCCACATCCTGCCCAGCTGTCCTGTCCAAGCTGTCCAGTCCACAATCCGACTTCAGTTGCCTTGAGCTTCGATAGGCTTGCCAGGCTGTGTGTCTTTCTGTTGAGAAGTGTTAATTTCGTAGCCTCTTTGTTTGTCACTGCTGGGTGGACATGTGGCATGGAGTTTGTGGGACACCCACTGCGCCTCCTAGTTAGTGTCCCGTTAAGCTTTAAGTGACATAAGTCTAACTTTTAACAGCTGCAGCAAAAACCAAAAAAAAAATAACCGAAAGAAAAGCGGATTTAAAATGGCAATCTCATTAGCTAAGAATCTCGGATCGAGATGCCCTTCGGGTGTTATTTGTCTGCTTTGATTAGCTCTTGAATAAAATTTATTTTATTTAACTAGACACGCTCCTTGGCTATGTATATATGCTGCATTAATATTCCTTGCATTAAATTACATTTGATGCTCTTTGACCACCAATCGTAAAATTTGTAGCTGTTACACTCTGAAAAAAGATCGACCTGAAAGTTAGAGCTAAGCTAAGCTTATTATAAAGAAACTAAACAAAGGTTTACCTTCTTTAAAACCTTTTTAAATTGTTCCAAAAATTTTATAAAATATTGCCTTTTTATTACTTAATTTTCTAATCAAAAAGATTTATACTTTTTTTTGTGTAAATATAATTTTTAATTATACAAAAAATATTTGTGAAAAATGGCAAAAATATTTCTGATTTATATTTACACTGTAAATGTCATAGGAAATCAAATAAAATCTTATATGAAAGCAATTTTATTCCTTTATCTAGAAATTACTTTTATTTAGGGCGATTTTTATTTTGGTTTTATTTCTAAATTTAAAGGCGATGTTTTTCTGAGTGTACTCTGTCTCTCTCCATCTATAGACATACATAAATATTTATCGCACCTCATCTTTATGCCATCGAGTGCACACTTTGAATCAGGTCTCTTTGAGCCATGTTTATATACGACTATAATGTGTATATATATATCTGCTATATATATGTATGTGTATATATATTTTCTCTAATAGGAAAATGTAAAGGCCAAATGGAAATCAACGGTAAAAACAAACTCAAATGCTATTACACAACAAATTATTTCACACACACAAGCACACACACACACACACACTAACACAAACACACATTTAGCTACTTACTAAATAATTTAGTCGTAGATGCGCACGTTAAGCTAATCACCAACCAACCACCCCAAAAAAAAAAAAGAAAACAACCACCACATATACAGCTCACCCCCCTCGACTCACTTCCTAACTAACTAGTCCCGCTCTATTCGAAATAATGTTGAACAACAATTGTTTGTCATCTTTGGCTCAGAGGCCAACAATTAATCAGCCTTGGGCAACGGACTAAAAGGACATTTATAGATAATATATTCATTATGAGGCCGGTATTCGTCATTGGATTTATATAAATGAACACTCGACACGCACATCATAAATCGCACAACAAAGAGTCCTCTGGCGGTGGATGGGGGAGGTCCTGTATCGTGTCCATACTCAGAGTGGACATGGTACGTGCCACGAGAACGTCTCCGGTTTATGTAAATTGTGTGTAAATTATTGCCAAAGGACATACATACATCTAGTGCACGCCAGGACTGCCCCTCCCTCAGTCCCTCTCGGGCGCATCCTTGAGCTACTCATGAATAGCTTTGGTTGCGCTTGCCCACTTCTGATGAATTCCACTTCCGGTCGTCCGAAAAGCTTTTTGCCCCAACTTCTTTAAGCTGTTGCCCTTAAGTGTAGTGAAGCTGGGTTTGGGGGCTGGCACTTGTGGGTGTTCCGGCGGCGGCGGCGGCAAAGGCGGCGTCGACGGTTAACGCTCCCACTCAAAGCGGAATGCCCCCGCGTGCTATTTGCCTTGAATTAGCACTAAAATGTTTTGACGACCAGCGAGCAATGACTGCATCCTGACCAGCCTGCAAAGTGTCCCATTTTTTCTTTTTGGTTGACATACACTTTCAGAGGATACTTCGAGCTAGTCGTAACTTGTGTAAGGGAAGCTGCTTACATAGATTATATATATATATATATTTGTTCCTAATCAGCATTAAAACAGAAATTAAATTTATTTCTGGGTACTTAATTATTTAAGGATTATTATTATTGGGGTGTTCCATGCACTGCAACCTGCTAGATCTAATTCCTGAGAACTCAAATCAAATTTTCCTACAGGATTCATTCTCATTATCACAAGATTCGTAGTCTACGTTATCCTGTTTGAGATCAGTTGCTATTCCAAGTCTGTGCTTTCCCTTGGCTATTATTTGCTGTAATCGTTTTTGATTATAATTAAGCATTACTTGCACACAACTCCCTTGGGGATTGAAGTAATCTGATGTCCTTAATGAAAGCTATTTATAATTTTGGCTCAACGAAGCTGTAAGCTCTACCATGATAAACTAATCAGTTTGTCAACCCGAATCTTAATGATGTTCCGATTCTGCTAGATAAAGTGTTAGGTTTCTGGTTAAGTTTGTGAAGTGGTTCAAATTTTGTTGGGGTATTCAATTTCACTAATTTGAGACTAATAGTATCGATTACTGTAACCGATTCGTAAGAAATATTGAATTTCTATTTCGGTCTCTGAATTGAAATCGTTAATGTGGCGTTTACGATCTTGGTTTGACACTCTAAATAATTGAAAAATAAATAAATAAACTAAGTAAACTACTAAAACAATTTTTATAAACTGCCATTTTATACACAATGATTTTGAATACTTTTATGGGTGTTTTTTAATTAACTATAAATCATTTAAAGGCAAAGTAATAATACAATTAATAAGCAAGTAGTGATTTCAGTCCTTTTAGAGCATTTAATCTTCGGCAGACACATAAACAACTATTTCTGTTCCTTTTTTTTTCTTCTTGCTGTGTGTCTTTTGGCCTGGACAAACTAAGTATTCAATTTGGTTATCCTGTGCTGGCTAATTCCTTTTCGTCTGTCGCCATTAAATGGTCGTTGTAGCCCGCAGAGCGTGCACAGCCTTTCAAATTGTGGCTGGGAACGGAGGACGACGACGACGACGACACTTTTTGGCTATTCAGTTGGAAGGGCTGAAATCCGCACAAATGGTGCACAGGATTGCAGGCAGCCAGGCAGGCTGGCAGGCAGGCAGGCAGAAGTGCTGAAGAGCTGACTTTCCGCTGCCTACAAATTGTCCTTTTCATTTCGCCCTTTTTTTTTGTTTTGTTGCTGCCATTTCTTTTTACGTGCCTAAGCCGGGCCAGGAATGTGGCCCAGAGTGTTGGCCATTTTGGTGCGGCATGTGTGAATAATCGCCGGAAAGCAGACGAAAGCGCCAGGACTACACACACACACACACACACACACATGTGTGTGTGCTGTCCAGTCATTAGTCTTGCAAATGCCCCCCGCTCAACAATTTCTATATATAGAACATATATGAAATGCCACGCTTTCAATAAATTTGCGGTTCTCTATTACCTGATCCTGTTTTGTGGTTGTGGCCCACAACTATTATGCCGGGCAGCTAAATTAATGCAAAAGTCGCTAGCCACAAAACTAATTTGTCATGCGTGCAAATTCAACCACTGAGCCACACAACCACCCAACCACCATTTTGCCTATTTGCCTGCCACTCTACATGTCAGCCGCCATTGCCAGCCGGCCAACTCAATTAATATACTTACAATTATGCAAAAATGCCATCAAAACAGCAACAACAACAAATTCAAATAAATACACAAACTTGTCCATATAAAAGCATGTATTTAAATATATATATTTATTTATTTATATTTATATAAGCCACTTGGTGTCCTGCATAAATTTATGATTACAAACTAAAGCGGTAAAAAACACTATTTATTATGATATAAAATTCAACGGCTATTTAACTCCATCAGTCAATTTCATTTATAGCTGCAGCATTAGCAGTTTTAAAGCTAAAAAACATTTAACAACCAGCTGCAAAATAGCCAAACCACCTGAGAGCAATGCGATCAATATGAGAATAAATTTTTGACTATAAATGGGGTGTTTCTTATTCGATCTTGACGTAAATTGTTCAGTTGATCAATAATGCGACAATATATATATATAGAACTGAAATCCACGAGTTCATACAGACGGATGGATGGACATGGCTATAATGACTCGATCGTCGATTCTGATTAAGAATTTTTAGCCATTTTTAATGGGTTCAGGATATAAAAACAACAATTCGCATACAAGTCATAAACAGCTTATAATATTTTTATTCAAAATACTTTTAGCTCATATTTGGCCACAAAAAAATGGTTATCTGAGGAAATCCGACTAGTATATACCCTTGCAAACCGGAGTCAACCTGCTGATAACTAAAATTCACAATAATTTTCGAAATTCGATAGCAGCTATTTGATATAGTGATCTGATTCAGTCAAGCATGATTAAGAATGTATTTAATATATGTAATTCAATGCGTTACAAACTTTATGTCCAATTTATAATACTCTCTGCAAGGCTATAAATAGCATCAACTCGCTGCGAGCCAAAAAAAAGCCAACAATTTTTTATTATAAAATGCTTTTTGACAGCAACAAAAAAATATATAAAAAATTTAACGTTAATCCCCAAAGCAGCTGGTATCCTGGTATCACTTGTATGAAGAATACATTTATGATTTCAGTCCAAGCCGTTTTTATAGTTTTATATAAATTAAAATATACTTTTAAATTACAAGTTGAGGTTCAACAGCTATAAAAAAAAGCAGCTATTTTTAGCTACATTCTCGCCTATACAGCAGCAGAATTGGCTGTTTGATGGCTGTAAAAGCTGATGCACATAAAAAAAAGAAGATAAAACTCGCCGAAAAGCCAAACAAGAACAGTTTACAGTTTACAGTTTACCAAAAATGGGAAAAGAAAAAATAGTATATCACGTTTACGCCTAATGGGCTTTAAGTGGGCGTAATAAATATGAACGCACAGTTTGCCGGAAAACTGCACCAAACTCTCTCGCCCTATCTCTCTCTCTCCCTCCCTCTCTCTCTGTCTAACCACACTTTAAGCACATTTTTGGGTGCACCCCTTAGCCCCCGCCACGCCCCCCACCCCACCCTTTTATATCTTGTTACTAGTTAAGGGCACATGGAACAACATTTCCATTCACATTTCTCGTTCGCTGCGTTGTTGTTGTTGTTGTTTTTTCTTTGGTTTTTGTCGTTTTTGATATCACTCATTTCGTGCTCTCCTCACACATTCTCTCGCTCTCTCTCTCTCTCTCTCTCTCTCTCTCTCTCTCTTTCTCTCTCTCTCTCTCTCTCTCTCTTTCTCTCTTTTTCTGTTTCTTTCTCTCGCCTTGCTCTTGCTCTCTGCTTTGTCTCTCTCTCTTTCTCTCTCTCTCTCTCTCTCTCTGTCTGTCTGTGTGCGTTTCTCTCGTTGTGCGTGCCTGGGCATCATCATCATCGTCATCATCGCATCCCAACCGGCAGGATTACGTGACCGTCTATGATGGCTACACCACACGTGACCCAATCATACTGAAGTTTTGCGGCGGCGGTCAGGCAGTGCCCGTATCCGTATCGAGTGGCCCGGAGCTGCTTGTGGAGTTTAGCACGTCGCCGTTTGGCACCTTTACGGGCACCTCATCACAGGTGCTGCCGCTCTACGGCTTCCAACTGGAGGTGAGCAGCAGACCACAAATTCCGACCCCTTTCAAATAATTAATAATACAAATAATCCTTTTTCAGGTTGAGGTACAATTTGTGGACATTCAGAGTCCCACCTACTCCAAGAACAAGAAACCCTGCGAATTTTGGATACGTGGCGCTGGACGTGGCATTCTGGAGAACCCGAAACACTCGCTGGCTCCCAATTCCACGTGTCTGTATCATCTGCAGGGCATGGGCGTCTTCAAGACATTTGACCACCTCAGCTTATCGCGTCGCACCAACAGTCAGTCGGGCATGCATCAGCCTCTGTCACGTTTCAAAGTTTGGATATCGGTGCTGAAGTTCAATCTGGATCCGGAATTTGGGCAGATCGATGAGACTTCAGTGGGTGCGATTGGTGTGCTGCAGACCCAGGAGGATTGCAGCGGGATGCTGCGCATTTGGGATGGCACTCTGAGGGATCCACCCGTCTGCAAGGATCTCAACTGGTGAGTTCAACTTCAACTTGAACCGTATTAATCTATAGGTCTAGGTCAATCAATCAATCAGTCATAACTGTACAATAAATTAAGCAAATACATTACTCAATTAAATACAACATTTAATAAGATTAAGAAACTCTCATTTAAATAGCGCCAGTGACTCGAGCAGCTATAACTCTCTGGGCCATCATTATGCACACAACTCGACGAATGTGATTGCGAGATTCTGTCGTGGAACAATACCGAGGACTTGCGATCGCTCGAACATCAATGAAACCTTCGCCCGACCCTGCACCATATCCGAGAGCTATGTGTCGAGCAGCGATGCCATAACACTGGAGCTGCGCAACACGGAATCCACGGTGCTCAGGTAACTTTAACAACTCTTCCAAAGGCATTCTCTAATCCTCCTTGTAATCCTCGTAGACCGCTCGACTTTAAGCTCAAGTACGAGTTCATTGATCTGCATCAGGATGGTCTGCCCCAGGGCGGGGGTGAGTTGGACTGCAATCGCAAGTTTGTCAGCAGTCTGATGGATCGCAAGGATCCGGCCATTTTTCGCAGTGTACGCAACATTTTCCTCTTTGGCCGCGGCGGAACAAGGCATCTGAAATGCGTCTATCGCTTTGAGGCACTGCGCGGAGAGCGGGTGCGAATCAAACTGCGCAGGGTGACAACCTCAAATCGTCCTTGCTACTCCCGTCTGGATGAGGACATCAATCGTTCCTTCTGCTATGGCGATACCAATGTGCGCGTCGAGGTTGGTTTATAACTTGACTAGATTAAAGTATAATTATTATATTGTAATATGTGAAACACTTGAATTTGTACAGATCTTTGAGCGACCCTATCCGGACTCCATTCTGCTGCATCGCGGCTGCGTCTGCAACTCGTCGAACCAATCTCATCTGCCCATTGAATATACCTCGACGGGTCGCGATGTGGAGGTGCATTTCATAGCACACAATATGACCACATTGGACGATCCAGACACTGCCAATTTCGAGGGCATGTTTGAGTTTGTCAAGGCGCCCACCAGCTGCAAGGATGGCCGTCGCAAATTTGGACCCAGCGGCACCATCGATATGACCTTCGGGGATGTAAGTAAATGTCGGATTACTTTACTGCTACTGCTTAACTTGCCACACTCCCTTACAGATTGAGTGCCGCTCGAGACCGTGGCTCATTGAGCCCTCCAATGGCAACAAGTTTCTGTATGTGCGCCTCAAGGCCATCTTTTTGAGCAAACACAATCCCAAGAAGACTCTCAATGCAACCCATATGCAGACCAACAGCTGGCGCTGCGAGACCAAATCCCGAGCAGTGCTAACCACATCGGAGGGTAAGTGGGGGAGATACTGATAAAGTGACCGATTACACTCAGAAAAAACTACTTTTTTTTGGAAATGCGACAAGCACAACTTACTTTAGTATATTATATTATTTTATATAAGCAAACATTTTAGATGGATTAAAAATTCACATAATTAATTTGAACAAGAAAAACGTTTCCCTAAAATTCCTTTCGATTTTTTTCTGAGTTCTGCACTAAATCTGAAACCCATTCTCAGGTCTCACAATTGTGGCCTGTCCGCTGAGTCCCGATTCGAGTGGCTATGAGTTCGTGGAGATCTTTAGCTCCGGCTGGAATGAGCGACCCAATTTTGCGCTGATCAATCGCTCCCGGGCTATAAGCGTAGAGTTTCTGCGTCCCAGCAATGGCGAGTACAGCTTCAACTGGATGGAACTGGTGCCCAGACCCACGCTGAGCATAGCTGGTGAGTCACAGAGGCACACACTATGTGACTTCCATATATATATATATATCGATTTTAATTGTCGCAGAGGATTGTCAGTTCAAGTGCCCGGAGCTGGGCGCCTGTGTGAATGCGAGTGTTTGGTGCGATGGCGTCATCCATTGCCCCTCGGGTGATGATGAGGCCTTCCTGCAGTGCTCGGCACTGATGAAGTTACCCGCCGAGATACTGGCCACACTCTGCCTAATCTTTGTGCTCTCGTGTTGTGCTTTTGCCGCCTTTGCTTACAAGTGAGTACAGTGCACACTCCCTAAGTCGTACCTCTTTGTAAATCCCTCTGTTTCTGTAGGAAAATCAAGCGTAAATTTCGCGGCTCGTCGGTGCTGCAGACGCGTCTCAAATCGCTGAGTTCGATGGATACGGCTGTGCTGGATGAAAAGGAGGTGATTTGCTGACAAAGCGACAATTCTGTGCGTTACGTTGAGATCGATCGTGTGACCACGGTCTGATCATTGACGAACCCTAACGTACAGAATTGTGCCCCGGAACTGATACTGAAACTGATCAAAAACAAACTGATAAAAAGCATCCACTACTGAAAATCAAACTAGAAATCGAAGCGAAGAAAAAGAGAATACCGATCGAAAGGCAATTTAATGATAATAATGATCGACATCAAATCAGAATCAAAATCAAAATCAAAATACCAAACTCAATATCGAAATCAAAGTCGCTCACCTGTTTTTAAAAATGCATTTAAATCAAATCGAGAAAGGTTTTTCTTTTCATTTTTATACTAAATAATATAAATATATATACATACATACATATATATATATATTATATAGTGTGGATTTTTAGTGCTGCGCAATTTTTATAAGCAATTTTTCTAGGCCCAACATGAGTTGTTCATTTTGATTCGTGCTCAGTTTGTTATAAATAATGTCGGAATACTATTTCCACACACTGTACATATTACAGACCTAAAATGTAGAATTTAGTTGAAAGAAGAATAAGATGAAAATGTGGGGGAGAAATGAAAAACTTCCGCTAGGTTTTTTTTATAAAGAAAACGCTCATAGACCTATGTAGATAAAACTGTTTCCTAATAGCCACTAAGTATAACCAGAAACTAGCCAATCAAACTGACTAAAGAAAAACCTTAAAGTGAAAACTCTTCAAACGTAAACTGAGTTAGGAGAAGATGGGGAAAATCATACCTATCACATTACTTGTAGTTTTTATTTTAGCCTCAAGAATGGGGGAAAATTCCACAGCATTTATTATGCGGCGCACAAAATAAAAGAAGAAAGTGAACTATCTAATAATAATAATAATAATAAAAGACAAAATAATCTCAAGTAGAACGTAAGTGAAAATGTTTTACATTTTAAGATTGATGGATTGATGATATAAAATAAAATAGTCGAATGATCCAAATGATCGCATAGTGGAGAAATATGTCAATATATAGAAGATAGATAAATTCGTTAGTTGTTTCATAGACGTTAGCTATATCATGCATTATATCAAACATAATATTATACCAAAAACAAAAATCAAACTGAGAAATTAAGCTAAGATCGAGATCCAAAATCACGCCTCAAGTCACGCTCATTGTTGTTCTTCTAGTGGTTGTTGTTGTTGTTGTTGTTGTGGTTGTTGTATGTGCACAATTCGCTCTCATAGCTCACAAAAAACTCACCACCACCACCACCCTCCACACAACCCCCCCTTTTTTTGCATGGCTCTGTGGCTCTGTGTGTGTGGCAGCTAAACTAAATTGCATAATTTCTCTATTTTATATTCTTTCTTTGGAATATTTTGTTTCTATATATGTGTGTTTAAAGAGAACGAGCCAAATCGTCGTTGAGACAAAGGCCTAAAACTTCTTGGGAGCAACAACAATTAAACGCAACTGAGCTGGCTGCGAGAGAGACAGAGACAGAGAGAGAGAGAGGGAGAGAGAGACAGACAGACAGTGAGTGTGAGAGAGAGGGCGCGAGTGAGTGATAAGGGACTCCTCCAGAAGGCAACGATCTTAAATGCAATATTTCTATCAACTCACCTTATACAAGTATTGTACATAAATATGGAAAAAAAAAAGAAAAAAAGAGAACAAATAGAGAAAAACTTCAGCTGTATAACAATTTTACAATGCGCCTTTTATTTAAAAATCATTGATCATCTATCTATACAATTAGAACAGTTCTTAAGTTACACTCGAACAAAATAGAGGGCAAAAAAAGAAAAACACAAACTCAGACAATAAAATTACAAAGAGATTTTGAGCTACTACTTGAGATCGAAATCGAGTCAAGATCATAAACAGACATATACATATACATACTAAATATAATATATAAAATAAAATAAAGAAAACCCCAATTTAAACAAACAACTACTAAATAAAATACATTAAAATTAAATTAAAACATTAAATGCAATCATAAATAAATATATATATATATATATATTTAAATGATTTTCGTTTAGAAACGCATCAGAAAAACAATTAGGCAAATGCAATTAATTATACATTTATTAAAATATACATATATATATGTCTATATATGTGTATATGTACTATGTGCGCCGATCTCATTGAAAACGGACTGAGGCAAAGACACTGGAAACAAAATACACAGAACCCGGATGAGCGTCAAGCAAAAAATACAAGTTGAAAGACCATATAAGGTTAGATTTTTAAAATTAACAAACTAGTTTAAATATTAAACTTAAAATTAAAATACAAGAACACACATAATAAACAAAAAAAAAACGTAAACCAACATAAGCTAAATTTCAAAATGTTGTAAAAATAAAACAAAAAACAAAAATCATATCAGATTCTAAAATGATATTAAACATTAAATGCAAAACGCAGAAGACAAAAAACAAAAAAAAACTCAATAAATGAACATTTAAATTCAAGTGCGGAAAAGGCTTTTTAAAAATATAAACTTAAGACTTAAGATGGAGAATTCGGGGATGGATTTGATGTGGCTACTGTGGGAGTGCCGTGTCGCTGGCGATGCTTGTAAAGCGAGCTGGGATCCCTCGTGGAGAACTTGCACTGCTCACACTTGAGCGGCTTTTCGCCCGTGTGCTGCCGCATGTGGATCTATGAAGGAGTGGGATATATATATAGTAAATATATTGAGTATCTATAGTAGTAATTCTTTGCTCACAATCAAGCTCGCCTTGCGTGCTGTCTTCTTGCCGCACACATTGCAGATGAACGGCTTTATTTTGTTGTGCACCGTTTTGACATGCTTGGACAGCGTTTTGCCATTGACAAATTTGCGCTGACAAATTTCGCAGGTTTTCTCCGCATAGAATTTGCTCTTCTTGGCCACTGCTGGCTGTGCTGGTTGCGGTTGCGTCTCGCTTGCATCATTCTGCTCCTGCTGCTCCTCCTGTTGCTGCTGCTGCTTCTGCTGCGCTCGTCGTCGCAGCAGTTCACGTCGCATGACGCGAGCACGCCACTTCTTGTGCACACGCATGTGACGCCACACAAGCGCTGAGATGGGCGACTTGTAGTCGCAACCGCTTACAGGACACTGCAACAGATCCACATCCAGTTGATGCGATTTCCACAAGTGCAGCGAACAGCGTCGCCAGTTGGCCATGTCTAAGCCGCATTCGCTGCAACTGTAACCAACTCCCTTGTGGCAATTGGCGTGCAGTGCCAGCTTTTGGACACTCTCAAACTTATAAATGCAGGCGCTGCTCTCAGCGCAACTGGCGTAAAATAAGAAATGGGTTTATTACTCGAGGGAAATTAGTTATATTAAATAAGGAGGAGCCACTCACGGCACTTGCATATTGACACGCAACGCCAGACGAAAGTCCCTGAACGGCATGGGCTGCAGCTCGGCAGGGGGACGATGCGGCGGCGGAGGTTGTGACAAGGACAACTCTCGATTGTGATCCTCGAGAGACTCGCGTCTCTTGGCAATTTGTGGCTTCAGCGCGCCATTGGTTTTAATGGGCTGGCAGTCGTGAAAGTAGACCATGTGACCACGCAGATCCTCCAGCAAGTCATACTGACGCAAACACAAGCTGCACACATAAACAATGCGTGCAGGCAGCTCCATAGCAAACCAATTAATTACAAAAAATTATGTTATTCTCACTCCCAAATAACATATGCCCGAAATCAGCTGTTTATTTAACAGCGTTTGAATCTTAACAGCTTTGCTCAGCTGTTATTAACAGTGGCGCAATAGCTGGCAAAAGAGAGCGGCGAATTTAAGTTAACAGCCACTCTAAATGAAGTGCTGCTGGTGACTGATATAAAAATATGAAATGATTTTAACTAAAGTCACTGCCACGTTCACTAAAAATAAGTAACGCTCACCTCTAAAAATTAAATAAATTATGTAGAGCACAGCCTTGCCACCTAATTAAAACAAATGAAACTCAACGGCAGCGCAAGTATTTCACTGCTCGCAATATACGGTCATACTGTCTATAGAAAAAACGCAAACGCAAACCCAAACGCAAAAGCGTATAAAAAATATATATTTAACCATTTCTTTAATTTATTAGTTTGTTAGCTCTACATATATATATCCGTTCAGCAAACCGCTGTAGTCTCGGACTCTCGTACTCAACACAATTATGGGCAGCGCGCTGGAAAACTATGTGAATCAGGTGCGCACAGTGAGCGCAGCGGGTAAGTAAAAATCGAGCCGGCAGAAAAATGGAAGAAAGAATTGTTTTAATTTATATGTATTTTTGCAACTAGGCAACTATCGGGAACTCGCTGATGAGTTGCCCGAATCGCTGTCGCTGCTCGTGCGTAACTGGAGCATATTAGACAATGTGCTTGAAACGCTGGACATGCAGCAGCACACGCTGGGCGTTCTCTATGTGCTGCTCGGGAAATTGCATAGCGCCGGCACCGCAAATCCGGATTCGACACAAATCATTCAACTGATGCGCGATTTCATGCAACGCTGCAATGTGGATCAACTGCGCTTCGCCGTCTGTCCCTGTGAGTGATTATCAGTTAGCCCTAATCCTACTTATTTAAATCATTCGCTCCCTTTGCAGTCTATGAGCTGTGCCATGTGTTCACCGATTATCTAGTGCAGAAGAATCTGAGCATATTGGGCATTAAGGTGCTGTCGCGTGCCATTGATCTGATTCGACACATGGACACCCAACTAACGCCCATCCACGCCGATCTCTGTCAGCTCAGTCTGAAGGCGAAAAACTTGAATGTGGTGCTGCCCTATCTGGATACGGATATCACCGACATCTCCACCGTTGCCGCCGAATGCAAGAATCAGCAGCAACAACAACAGCAACAGCAGCCACAGCACACGCTGGTATATATCTACCTATCTATATATACACACCTGGACAGTAAAATAAGTGTGAAGGCTTGAATAACTTTGTGGCCAGCGCCAGCAGCATGCATGACTGCTTTTTTAGTTAATTCCATATGGAATTCTTTTATCATCGTAACGAAAAGAAATTTAGCTGAATTTCATCATTCCAGAGAATGTAGTGCTAAGTGCTAAGTTTATTCCCATTTTCAAATGTGTTGTTCTAGCCAAGACCAACTTTAGTGGATAGTCTACTAGCTAACTTTGCACGCACCAATCGCCGTCGAGCAACAACATTCCCTATTAAGCTTACAATCTCTAATCCAATCACAACACACTATTATCGGTCGCTGATGAAATTTCCTAGGATCCCACGCGCCTTTCAATGATTTTCTCTGACTTGCATTTGTAAAAAAGTTCTGAGATTGTCAATTTTTTCCTTGATCTTAAAGCTTTCACACATGTCTTCTTTGCTCAGCCCAGTTGTGATTGTGCCTGACCCATTTAATATTATTTAATAGCTCAGCTAAGACCTTTATTATAATGGTTACAGTTCTCTTAACTTGATATCACTTTTATTTTAACAAAGCCAGCGAATTCTTATTTGAAATACAAATGAATATGTTGTACTTTGGACATGATATTTCTTTTTCTTCAATCCACAATTTGTACTCTTCGCACTTATTTTACTGTCCAGTTGTGTATATCTATATATATATCTGTATACTACAAGTTACCTCATATTTTTGCATTTAGGATGCCAACAATGATGCAAAGTACTTTTTGCTATATTACTATTATGGCGGCATGATCTATACGGCTGTTAAGAACTACGAGCGTGCCTTGTATTTCTTTGAGGTGTGCATCACAACGCCAGCGATGGCCATGTCCCACATCATGCTGGAGGCATACAAAAAGTTTCTCATGGTTTCACTCATAGTCGAGGGCAAGGTAAGCATTAAAGATACTTTATCATCATTCAATTAATGTCTGGTTTTTTTTTCAGATAGCGTATATACCAAAGAACGCGCAGGTTATTGGACGCTTTATGAAGCCGCTGGCGAATCATTATCATGATTTGGTCAATGTGTATGGCAATGCTTCGAGTGAGGAGCTGCGCATCATTATACTCAAATACAGTGAAGTATTTACGCGTGATAATAATGTCGGACTGGCCAAGCAGGTGGCGACATCCTTATATAAACGAAACATCCAGCGTCTGACGAAAACATTTCTCACACTCTCCTTGTCGGATGTCGCCAGTCGTGTCCAGCTGCCCAGTGCCAGCGAAGCGGAGCGCTATATCTTGAACATGGTTTGTTCAGATCAGTTTCTGTAACTATTACGCATATTAAAGTCTATTCCATTTGATCAGATCAAATCTGGAGAGATCTTTGCGAGCATCAATCAAAAGGATGGCATGGTGCTGTTCAAGGATGATCCCGAGCAATACAATCTGCCCGACATGTTCCTCAATGTGCAAACGAACATTACCCAGGTGCTCGATTTGGTTAAGCAAATCAACAAAATGGAGGAGGAAATCATATTGAATCCGCTGGTAAGGAAAATAATTACTCTATATATATATATATATATATATGATTGTGATTGCTTTGCTTTAATTAATGATTGTTGAACTGAACCCAAAGGGCACACTTAATGTGCAACAAGTCATTAACTAACATGATTAATACTGAATTGTCAAGCACAGTAAACACTCTTTTTTTTTAAGTGATTCTCAGCTAATAGTCTGTCGGTTTGTCTTTTGCAGTATGTGAAGAAGGCGCTGGGCAGTCAGGATGAGGATTTGACGTCACAGCACCCCAAGACCTACTCGGGGTAAGACAAGAAAGCGGCACACAAATACAAAGCGCAAACATTACACATATTCCATATTGACAGCGATCCCACGGATTGATGTGTTACCGAACTTCCCTAAAAAAAAAAAAAAGAGACAACCACAAATAGCAAAGAGGAGCAGGAGCAGGAGCAGAAATGGAAACAGTAGCAGAAGCAGGAGCCAAGCACAGCTGCGCCAACAATTTGCTAAATTTATAGATGAACAATGCTATTTTAAATAAAAACTAATTGTATAAATCAAATGACACAAATCTCTAATCGAAATGTGTGTGCAATTATTGATAACCGATTGATAAGAGCACGGTTTATTTATATTGAATCGATCAGGCGATATTTTGCTCAATTGGTTTGCACTTGACTGAGCCACATTCTTCTACGTGTGTGTTCGTCTGTTTGTTTGTTTGTTGTTGTTGGTTTATTACAAATATCAATGTCAGACACAACGTTTAGCTAACCCTAAATGATATGGCTAATTAACTGACTAGACTAGACTGCCGCCGGTTGGTTGTTTGTTGTGCGTGTTTCGTTCGTTGTTTGTGGTTTGCTGTTTGTTATTGTTGTTGCTTATGTTATAGTTATAGTTGTAGTTATATTTATAGACTATATTTAAGTACTAGTCGCGTTTTTAAAGCTAGACTAATTGCTATTGTGCTCTCTTTCTTATATAAACATAGTGACTATATATACAATGTTATTGTTGTTGTTGACGCTCTTCTTCTTTGTTGTTGTTGTTGTTATCATTTGTTGCTTGAGATTCTCGTCGAGCAGCGCTGCCAACATCGCCTTTAACCGGTTTTCAGAGCATCCACTTCCAGCATTGTGGTCTTCAGCGTGCTTGTGACAACGCCCACTCCTCCTCCGCCGCCTTCGACGCTCATGCTGCTATAGAGTTTGTGGACCACATTGAACAATATGAAGCTAACGATGAGGACCAGCAGCGACATGAACGCATATGCCAGCACCAGCGGCGTATCCGATATGGGATCAAACATTGTTTTATATATATATATATATATATATATATATATATATGTGTATATTTGTATATTTTTTTCTTGTTTTAATTATTTTTATAACTTCTGACAGAGAGTTAGTTGACAGAGATACTCTCTCGCTCTCTCTCTCGAGTACGTCGAACTGACTAAATGGAAAACACAACGGAACTTGGAACTGAAGTGAAAACGCGTATGCTAATTTAATGCCGCAAGTTTATATATATTTATATATCTGCATATATATTCACAACGCAATTACAAATATAAGTGTTGTTGAATGTGCTCCGTGCTTGTTGTACCGCATGCATTGACACCTGTGCTTTAACTGAGCATTTTATACGAGGCGAGCGAACGTGTGACTGGAAATTGGAATAGAACTTTGTGTGCTGAGCCCCCCTCCACCGCCACACGTCTGCGCTGCCCTGTCCGCTGCAGTTACACCCGCACGCACGATAAGCCCAATATATATATATATATATAGATAGTTAGTGAAAAACCCGTTTATTGGTTAGTTTGCATCTAACATTAACTAGGGTCAGGTCGAACACAGCTGCATCTTTGATCGCACATCACTCTCAGCTGACCGCGAAAGAGAGCGAGGAAGAGAGGGAAAGAGTGAGAGAGCGTATAAACTATGAAATACTCTGCACCCGAGTCGAAAGTATGTTTAAGCCTATCGATCAGTCGGCATCGTTGCAAAAATACAAATTAAAACGGCATACTTATATTCAATATCTATACTGAATATCTTATATATAAATATATATATATATATATATAGGGGCTTCGGCAGATATGGATGGCTGTTGTCTAAAATTTTAAACATAATTGGGCTTTATTTGGTAAATGACTAAGAACTATTTTCTTTATCTGAGTCATTTACTCGCTGAGCTTCATAAAATCGCCAAGGAATATATTTTGTTCTATATTATACATTATATACTCATTACTATTATTTTTTATTATACTTATATTATTATTATATTTACTTATAAGTCATTTATCTGACGCCGAGCTATATATAAAAGACAATCAGCTCACATTATTGTATTTATATTATCATTTTATTTATATATTTATTATTTTTATCATTTCCGTATCAAACGCTGCGTCAATTAAAATACATATTATATTATATACATATATATTAAAAGAAAAGCATTTCACAGAGTGATGCTACCCTCTTTGGAGGCAATATAAACATAATTACAGGGTATACCAATTTTAATGAACACTCATTGAATGCGAAGCATATACTGATATTCATATACATCGATGCCAGCGGAGCCAATCAAGTGAACAAATCTACGTCGTCTGTTTACGAGTATATATTTGTTGGGCTTTATTAATTGAATAAATGGCGAATATGTAAATAAAACATCTGGGCAATAAAAATTGGTAAATATAGCGTCAAGCAATTTGCGATTTTGTATTTTCAATTGTGCCTGCTGTTGTGATTCGGGGCATGATGTTGAAATGCGTCTTATCAAAGTGACTGATAAAACACACTATGGCCCCCGCAAGTGCTAACTGATAAGCGAAAGGAATTTTTTGTCTATATCCGTTAACTGGTTCAGCATATACTTCTATATATATATATATATATATATATATATACATACTGTATACACTGTGGAATGAGGCGTCTGCTGTGTGGCATGCTCGTGACTCGATTCGACCTTGGAACCAGTTAAACGGGGGGCAAAAGCATAGTTTCAAAACTAGTTCTCTAAAGATTGATTATAGATGCAAGCAGTGCCTCTCTCTCTCGCGCGCTCTCTGCTCTCTCTCTCTCTCTCTCTCTCTCTCTTCTCTCTCTCTCTCTCTCTCTCTCTCTCTCTCTCTCTCTCTGGCTGTTTAGTGCTCGAAATCCGATGAAAGCCTACGCATGGGCAGATGACACAATGTGGCACTGTCCGTGCAACGTGCCACAATCATATCGTTGCCCACATCGTTCAGCACCAGTCGCATATTATTGGGCCGGGTGCAGCGCATCATCATTTTGAGTCGTGGCACACTGAACAGCTGATCGTAGTATTTGATAACACGTGGACTGTTCGAATCATGCACCCCTCGATCGGCACATGGTCTGTTGGCGCTGCAGTTGCACATGAAGCTTATCGCACGCTGGCCGGAATTGCTGCAGAAGTCCAGCTCAACGCTAACCAAATAGCACGGTTCCAACGTGAGCGTAATGCGCACTGTGATCCATAGTTGATTGACTGATTAACTGATTGACTGATTGACTGACTACCCCTATGATTTACTCACCCACCGATGACTCGTGTATCTGGGAGCGATTCTGTATCCAAACGGAGCGTGCACTCAACTGTTGCCCAAGATTCTGGCCTAAGCCGTGATCCCTGGGCAAGTTCAGGGATGATTGGGAGCGAGGTGCCGCTGGCAGCGGCAGATTGTCATAGATGGATATATAGATCTTGTGACTGACATAGACCACAATGAAGAACAGTATGATGAGTATGAGCAGGAAGACAAGATATGTGAATAGTGTCGGCAGCCAAATGATGACATCCAGCAGCATTGGTAAAGTGGGCTGCTTCGTTTCAATTGTTTCAGTTTCAGCTACGATCTCAGAGTTTTCAAGTGAAACGGTCGCCATAGCAATCAGCCTGCTAAGGTTGCTCGTTTTTTTGTTTGGGGGGGAATTGTTTGTTTTGCAACATCTATGTAAATGTATTTATTTTAATATTGTTTTCTCATTTTTGTTTTTTTTTTTTTTTTTTGTTAGCTTTTTGTTTTTACTTTTTGTATATAGTACATACGATTTTACATTGACAATATTTGTAGTTTAAATTATATGCGCTTCTCCTCGCTCGCTCGCTCGCTCGCTTTTGCTGCTGCTTGTTTACGTCACAGGTGTCTTGGCTTAGCGTACACATTATTTCATGTTCTTTATTTATGTTTGCATATTTTCTCATAGCATTTAGCTTTTGTCGCACACACTGAACTTTGACGTGGGCGCTCACTAATCGCTCTCTCCCTCTCCCACCCTCTCACTCTCTTTCTCTTGCTCTCTATGTAGTCTTTAACCCGCCGGCGGGTACACTCACACTCACGCTTGTGAGGCGCAAGGGGGCGTGGCTTGCACACTGCGCAAACCGCCTAAGAAAAAAAAGGGACAAACAAAACGCAAATAGAAACACAAAAATTAATCCCTTTGGGCTCAACTTGAGCTAAAGGCGTGCGAGTGTGTGTGTGTGTGTGTGTTAGTTTGTGCTTATGCAAATTTTGTAGTCACTGTCACACACACACACACACACACGCATACATACAAAAACCGCCCACTTTTGTCAAGCATTAGTTAAATTAATTTATGTTTTGTTTTGTTTTGTTTTAATTAATTTACAATTTCTTGTTATTTTCATTTCTTTTGTGTGTGTGTATTTCTTGTTGTTGTTGTTTGGTGGCAGTTGTTAGAAAAATGCCATGTTGGTTACGCGACGTATGTATAACAGAGTATAACAGTTTGAAATCATAATGACTTTCAAATTTTCATTAATAAAAAGTTTGTATATATATATATATATATATAAATTTGTTTGTTTTTCTTTTTGTTGACTTCATGTGCGAAATTTGAAATTAAATAATAATTTACTAATAATATTAAACAATATTTATGTATTTGTTGTTGCCCGCTCTTTTGTTCAACACAAACAAATTAGACAAAACCTAGTTAAATTATTTTTTCTTTTTCCTTTTTTTTCAACTCAGCATGCGTGTGTATGTGTACGTGTGTGTTTTTATAGCTAAACTTTAATATTTATTTAATTTTTACTCATAAGTTGTTTGTTTTTGTGTTTTTTTTAGGCTGTAAAAAACATTCAGATCTTCAATGTGATTATTAAACGAAATGTTTCCTTTTTTTTGGTTTTTGTTTTTGCTGGCAGCATGTTCCGTTATAAAGATATTCAGTATATATATATATGTATATATACATAGATATATATGTGTGTATATTTCAACCAGTACTCGTAGAAAAGTGTTATAAGAAATGCGCTTGTTTTGTTTTTCAAATTTTTCAAATTTACATTTGCTTTTTTTCCTTTGATTTTGATCTTATTTGAGTTTTTCAAAAGTTTTTCTTTTTAAGAAAGCTCAGTGCGACAAGTTGCGTTTTGTTTTTTGGGTTTTGTTTTCTGTATTTTTTTGATTTTAGTTTTTTTTCTTTTTTTGGAGTTGGGAACATGCCGCAACTTTTACACGAAATTAACACACACATTACACAAATACATATGTATAACTTTTCAGCACAACATACAGAATTCATATACGTAATTAACATATTGGTATTTGGCGCCCCCTCTTCACACCCCCCACTTCATAACCACCCACGCAACCCAACCCCCAGCGCACCCCCCAACCCAAAACAAGCGAAGCCAATCCATTTTTCACACTTGCACATTGAGCTCAACTCAATATTTCAATTCCAATGGAGAACTCTCTCTCTCTCTCCCTCTCTCCCTCTCTCTAAAATGGGGCTGCTTTATATGGATTCTTTTTTTGTTTTGTTTTTTACACATTTAATTTAATTTTTGTTTTGCTTTTTATGCTTTTTATGCTGTTGAGCGGTTGTTTTTTGTTAATGTTGGCATGCGAGCTGCGTTGTTGTTGTTGATGTTGTTGATGATGTTGTTGTGTGTGCCTGTTGTTGTTTGTTGCTTGTTGCTTGCTTATACAGACAATGAAACGAAACTGTTATACTGCGTAATGTTGCGCTTCAGAATATCCGCACAGGGGCCCAAAACGCGCTCAAACCTAAATATAAAATGGTTATTAATCGGTTAAGGTATAAATTATACAAATATATATACTATATACCTCGCTCTGTCCAGTTTGACGCACTTGAGGGGGCCGCGAGCGACAACAGTTGCGGCACGTGGCCGATCCAGGAGCAGAGCAATCTCGCCAAAGTAATCGCTGGAGCCCAAACGGCCCACTTCAGCTGGCTCCTCACCCTGCTGGTGTAGATTAAATCCAAGGAAAACAATTAGTGACCAATTAGCCAATTATTATTATTGTTATTATTAAGTCTACCTCGGAGCGCTGTTGCAGGACAACGGCACATCCTTCGAGAATGATGTAGAAATCATCGCCGGCAGCGCCCTGTTTCACAATCGTTTCGCCATCCTCGAAGGCGCACGTCTCCAGCGAATCGGCGACAGTCAATCGCTCCCATTTATCCAAGCTCTCCAGTATGGAGACACGCGAGAGGAACTCCTCGTACATTTTACGCTTGCGTATGGTTGAGCCCATCAGGATGCGTCTGTACGAGTCACGATCGATGCCCCACAGCTTAACATCGCTCTTGGCGCGCACGGTGGCCGCACGTGGTGTGCCATAGATCAGCGCCAGCTCACCAAAGCTGCCGCCTTCGCTGATCGTGGTCACCAGCTCAGAGTTGACAAAGACCTGCGAATGGTTTAACAATACACAAATTCAAATAAAGAGTTATACAATTGTTTTTGGACAACAACTCACATCTACTTCGCCCACATCGATGACATAGAAATTGTCGCCTTCGTCGCCCTGCTGTATGATATTCTCGCCGGCCGTGTGATTAACGGGAAACATGGCATCGAATATATCGGAGCGTTCGCTCTCATCCAAATGGGCGAAGAGCACATTTTTGGCAATGGCCTTCGACAGAGCGTTCATTGTCTTGTAGTCCTTGGGTACAACTTTCTTAACATAGTTGGCGGCATCCTCCTCGGTGACCGGTTCGGCGGAGATGCCACCGCGCCGGCGTACGGGTGGTGCGGCTGTTTGTGGCATTGGACTGAGATCCTCGCAATCGTCGGGACTGATTACCTGTTTGCTGGCATCCAGTTTGACTTGTTCCTGCAAGGCAGAACATCAAGATAAAGATATTGCATGAGTATAACAGTTTGTATAACACGATTTGTTGTTCTTAAGCTGATGCACAATAAGCCGTAATAAGTAAGCGAACATTCATCTAATAATCAACCTTTATATTTATTTATTTACTTATGCTTCCACTCAAATCAAATCACGCTCAAAAGGCGTTCCCTGCTTGAGACGCCCACCTTTTGTGTTGCAACAACTCCTGCAACGGCGTAGCAAATTTCAATGTGCGTCATTTTGCAGACGCTAACTGTTTGTGTATATGTCAAAAGTCAGTTCAAGGAGTGAATTTGGCTGGGTTTGGGGCAATCAAAGGGACAAAAGCTGCTCCAGGGCTTCAGCTGGGCATTTGTCTATTTTTGGTAGCTCAAAGTTCGCATGTTGCAAGCTCGAAGCGCCCACACAAATCGCACAGATAGCAATTGCAATGCTGCAATACTGCTAAAAGGAGAAAAAAAAACCAAAATAAGTTCTCTTAATAAGAGGGCGGCTGTGACGTCAATGGAGACCCAGACCCAACCAACTGGATTGCAAGCAGCAGGGGCACAATTAAGCTGCACATTTAAATGTCAAACGAAATGTGACTCTTGCTTTTTCGACAACTGTCATTTGGGAATTGTGCTAAATTGAATTGATTGTATGACAGCAGTTTTGGGCTACTTGAGTGAAAATGAACTAATTGAACACCATTCAGGAGGCCATATGTATAAAATAGTTGGTGTTTTTCGGAAGAGGAGACAACGCAGCTGCTGGGCAGATACACCAGAACTCCGACAAGCCAGATGTCTTTTGGGTGGCTATAATCGTAAACGATTTAAGCAAGTAATAACCATGGGTAAGCACAGGCTTAGGATAATCACCTGTCTACTAACAGAACATTGTAAACAAAGGAGTCACCTAACCAAACTAGGTATTTATATTTATAGGAAAGCGAGGAGGAATCCTCAATGCACATCCTAGCAGAGTGTTTTGCCTTAACCAGGAAAGGATGCAGCATTTTAGGTATGCATGTTATGAGCTTCAAAGACAACCCAGCAAGGAACCTAGCATTTGTGCAGGAGGAGCTGGGCTCAGAAGGGAGCACAATTATAATAACAAAGAGTCGTCGAACAGTTGTAATTAAGAGATACATGTTAACTACAAATATAAATATTGAATTTTCGTAGTTTGTTGTATCTAACTAATTGCCAGTTGAGTAGTCAATTATTTGGTTGTTTTTAAGAGTTGATCGCACTTACAAACGACATTTTCGTATGACATATAACACTTTATGCACTGCTTACACAAATTAATAATAATGCAAACACAACAAATGTATAACCGTTGTTTATGCGCAAACTTGAAGTACTGTTTACATCAGTATACCTCAAATTAGCGCCATAACTTGGCCCAAAAGCTGCCTTGAGGCCAGATAAGATATTAGCAACTATTTGTAGCCTCTTTGAGAGTTTGATTACAAGAATCAAGCTTATCAGAAACAATTTAATGGCTTCCTACGCACGCAGTTAATGAAAAAGAAAAATGCGCCAAATGCATAAACATTTAATGGGCAAACAATAAAAGCGCGTTTGATGAATCACATAAAACATAAAACAAACAAACAAACAAACAGACAAATAAACACGCAGCGATTTCTATCGATTTGAGGTGTAAACAAATTAAAAAATTAACTTGAGCAATTTGAAGCAGATGATCATGGCATGTTTGCTGATAAGAATGCGTTTTTTTTCGGGCCACTTGCCAATTTTTAATGATGAGCTGCCAATTGTTAAGTTAAGGCGTTTGCACCACGCCCACGATCAATCAACGCGAGGCGCAGCTGCAACGCATACAAAGTGCCACAAAGTGAAGCACTTTAAAGGCTGCAGTAAACAAAACCAAGCCGCAAAAAGCTGACAAGTCAAAGTCGCCTGTTGACTAACTACCACGTCCCACTCCCCCTTTCTCCCTTCCACACTTTCGCTCTCCCCCGGGCAAACAAAAAGTGCAATTTTATGACCAGGGCCATCGTTGTCGTCCTCGTTCTCGTCCTCGTCCTCGTCCTCGACCTCGTCCACGTCATCTTTCGTTGCCGGCGCGTGTTGGCCGTGACCTTTATGCAGACGCGGAGTCGGCGCCAAACAGCCAACAACTAGTCCCTGGCCGTGGCCATGCAGCTCCACTCGCTCTCTCTCTCTCTCTCTCTCTCTCTCTGACTCTCTCTTACTCCCTCTCTTTCTCTCTCTCTCTCTCGCTGTCTCTCTGCAAGTTTTCATTTATATATCTCTGCGAATTGGCGCGACATATTCAACGGAAATCGATGTCGCTTTGACAAAATTGAGTTACTGACGCAAAACTAAATTGCAAACCGTTCTGTGTGTGCGGGTGTATGTGTGTGTGTGTGTGTCCAATCTTGAAGTACGCTTATCAATACATACAAACATTAACAAGCCCTCACGACACTTGTCAGCTGATTAAATGACAAGGCAAGATGACTTTTACTATTTGATTGCAACTCCATCAAATCGCTTTCAATTTGCAGATAGTTGCGTATACACTGAGCAAAAATTAAGTATACGTCCTGCTGTAACTTTCAAAAGTGTCGATAAGTCGCAAGTTCTCAACTTTTGGGGAAACCTTTAGTCAAAAAGTTGAGTTATGATCAGGCGGTTGTTGAGCCACTTATAGACTTTACTGAAACACAATAGACTTGCCCCAAGATGGCTTCCGGTTCCTGGTAATATGGCGTACACATGACCAATTGAATCGTTTTGTGGCATAGAAAGACAATGCGGCAACAACTGAGGCATGATTAAATCTCAAAGAAGCCAAATATCTTCTAGATGGGACAGAACAGATTGTGTCGGGCAAAGTAATGGTGCCCTAGGGAAACTTGTTTTAAGCTTGGAGCACATAGAAACCCTCAATCCGACAAAGATTAAGAGAAATTGGGATTGAAGGATTGAACTGTGGTATCCGAAGGGATCTAACAGATCGCAGTACATGAAGCAAAACAATAATAACAAGCTCTGCCCCTAAAATACATTTCTATTTGGCAGACTGGTTATGATTTTGAATATTATATATGTATTTCTATACATTTTCTAGAGAACAGATAGTCTCTAGGTCAGGTCAGGTGTATTAACTGAGAAAATGGCAACAACTTTAAGATGTTTTTTGCTCTGCCAGGAATTAATTGCCACAAATTGTGATTAACAAAATTCCAACACGTTCTGCTCGTGTTTTTTTCGCCCAATGCCAATGTGCCATAAAAGTGCAATGTTTTATGAGGTGATAAGAGCAACAGAAACAACAACAACAATAAATGCATGACTATTAAGCTTTTCATTTCATTTGGGAGCATTCTTAAAGAAAAATGGGAAATCAAATTGCTGCAAGGCAGTAAAAAATGAATGAATCGCGAATGAGTGTATGAGTGTATGAGTGTGTGTGTGTGTGTGAGTCAATGAGTTCATTGCATGAGTGCTTATTTAATAAAAGAGCAGCTGAGAATAAAATAAATATGTGCATATTTACAATAACAACAAAAACAAATAAACAACAACAACAAACGCGATTTGCAAACCTTTGACATATTTTAGCTTTTGCTTTCAGCTGCTAAAGATGTGTGTGTGTGTGCTGGTGTGTGTGCTGGTGTGTGTGCAATTGCAACAAACGCTGTAAATGGTCACCGACTAGAAAATAAACAACAACAAACAGACAACAAATGACATTCCACTTTTAATTATTTTCAATTTTTCTGTATATATTCTCAGACACAGTTTCCACTAATGGATGTAGATTTTCACGTAGACCGTATTATGTTTGTTTTTTTTTTGTTTTCGTTTCAAGACGTGCACAACAAACTACAAAAAATGTACAAATAAATACATATTACGTATACGCAACAACAAGCAAGACAACAACAACAATAACAACAACAACATAAAGCAATGACAAATCCAATGTCAAAGTTTTATAAAAATAAATATTGAAACCATCTTTTTTCTTCATTTTTTTTTTTTTGGTATTTATCGCGAAAATTTCACACAAATCGAACAAAAATTTTACAACAAAATATGTGCCAAAAAAAATGGGAGAACAAAAATATATATTAAATAACATTATTAAAGAATGTAGTTATAGATAATGAATATATGAATCATATATATATATATATATATATATATATATAATATGGGCTCTGGTTATTAAAAGATTTTGTAGCCGCAGCCAAACGCAATTAATTGGTGCAAATATGAAAGAGAATTATATAAAAATAACTAAATATATGTATAAAATGTATATATTTGGATATATATATATATATCAATATATGTATATGTACATATGTTTCTATATTTGTAGATCGCGTGCGTCACTCAATTTGCAGATTGGTTAATTTGACTACATAATTTCTTCCTTTGACAACTCAATTATTTTCACATTTGTTGCTTGCTGTTTGATTGTTGTTGCCGATTTCTTTTAATTGTTTAATTAATCCAATTGCAGGAATAGTCAAGCAATGGATATGGATATATATATATATGTGTGTAGGTGTGTGTGTGAATAGTCTACCCGCTGTTTTTTTTTGTCGTTGCTCGTTTTCAACTTTCGTCGTCGCGTGTTATTTACAAAACGGAGGCGCGACACAAACTGAAAACTGAAAACTAAAAACTGAATTCGAATTCGCTTTCAGCTTCGAGACGGCAAACAGAGAACGTCAACGTCGACGTCGACGTCAACGCAGCCAGCATCGGCTTCCAGGCGCCCTTACTGCTAGCCCCCTCCCCTATCCAAAACAATGCTCTATGTGTGTACGTATTACCGTTAAGTACTGTGTGGGTTATGTGTGTGTGCGAGTGAACCGGAATGAGAATTACAACTGTCTGTGGTTTGGCGATAGTAGCTAAGAAATGGACAGTAGTAGTAGAAAAAGTGGAAGAAGAACTGCTTAGCTTATGCACTGCTCAAAATTGAGCAAAAACAAATCAATTGCAATTCTCAATCATCATCATCATCAATTCAAGGCATTTGAAGTGCACAAAAGAAAGAAAACAATTTTCGAAAGTCAAACAATTCATTTTTGTTTCGACAATTAAAAACATTAAATTTCGTGCGGTGTAGCTACATTATTTGCCCAGTAAAAATCTAAAAACAACATACAAAAATACATATGATGCTCAACAACAACAACTAAAATGAGCGAAACATTAATAAAACGAAACGATGGCCACAAGACTGTAGCCAAGAAATTGTTTGGCCCATAAGACTTGAGAGAGCCACGGCTATGTAGAGGAAGGGCAGCGTGGGTAGCGAGGGGGGGCAGAAACAATGGTCACTTGTCAGTCTATTTGCTGTTTGTGCCGCAATGCAAATGGGGAAAAGGTAAAACAAATCAATTCGACGCAAAGCTAAAAACCATGAGAGAGAGAGAGAGAGAGAGAGAGAGAGAGAGAGAAATAAGCAGGTAGAGGGAGGAGGAGGAGAGGCAGCGGATTGAGCCAAGGTAAAGAGCAAAGAATTTGTGGGCGAACTTATGAGTGTTTACCTTAAGCTCAACCCACACACACACACACATACGCACTCACACACGCACAAGCAAACAAATATTCGAGAAGAAAAAAATAGAAAAAGATGTGGAAAAAAGCAATAATAACAATAATTGCAAACACAATCGAAAAGTTGTTCATGTGTTAGTGTGTGTGTGTGTGGAATTTATAATTTCGTTTAACCATTAAAATGTTGTTTGCCTAATATTTATGTACATAGATGTACACACGCATATCCGTTTTAATTATAATTACACTTTTGATTTACATGTTGTTGTTTTGGTTGTTTTTTTTCTTATTTTTTTCCTTCATGCAAGCCACGTGACGTATGTAGCGCTATGTAAAAGATATGCGAGAATAGAGACTGCGACAACATGCGATAATTACTAATGTATGCGTGTGTGTGAGCGAGAGGGAGGGGTGGAGGTGGGGGTGGGGGCCCCGTGGGACGTGCGACAAGAATGAGAGTGCAAAATGAACGTGTGCTAAGTGTACGCAGTGGGCGGGCCGCTGATTACCGTTAAAGTCACAATATGTGGGGAAAAAACCAAGACCTTGCCCACCACAGCGTCTCTAGGCTCAGCTGAGGTAAGGCCCAAGTGTGTGGCCAGGTCATGAATAAACGTGCGTCAGAGCAATATGTGGGAGAGAGAGAGGCAGACAAATAGGTAGAAAATGTCAAAAAGAAAAGTGGAGAGAAAGAGAAAGAGAGATAGAGAGAGAGAGAGAGAGAGATAGTCAGATAAATAATTATTAAACAAAAAGACGGAGACAGAGAGAGAGAGAGAGAGAGAGAGAGAGATAGAGGGATACGAAAAAGAGAAGAAAATTAGATAGATAGAGAGAGAGGGGGGGAAAATGATAAGCAGGATCAAAAAAAAAATACGGAGACAGAGATAGTAAGCAAGAGGGGGAAGAGAGATAGGCATAGATAAAAGAATCAAATACAAAGAAAGAGGAAAAGAGATAGTAAGAGAGTGAGAGAGATAGTAAGAGAAAGAGTCACAGAGATAGTAACATAGCGAGAGGAAAGCAGATAGAGATAGGGTTTAGGAATCGTGCCATATGTGACAAACGCCCTTCTCAGTGATTCTCATAACAGGTACCTAAGCTACGCTATATTTCCAATTAAATTCCATAGTCCATTGAGCTGAATTGGCTCTAAAATTAGGTTAAAAAGATTCAAGATATTTTTTACGTTATATTTTATGGAATAATAAATAAATATTTTTCTATAACAAAACATTGAAGCTTATTTACCATATGAAAACCATTTTACTTTTTATTTTATAGTTTCCTTAGATCAATTTCATTAATTTAATAAGACCAATATATATATTCAAAAAATAACATTTGAAGATTTAAGGCTAATCTAATGCATTAAGAAAACGTCAAAATAAATGTTGTCAGTTTGAAATTCTGAAAAGAACATACGAAATAAATGCGCCTTATTAAATGGCCTAGCAAACCAAGCAAATGATTCAATCTACATTCCGACATTATATATTTTGTGCGAAACGTCTCCAGCAGCATTCCATAAAACTTTCCGCTCTGCAATTTGTGTTTACTAAACACTTTTTCAAAGGATATAATTTAATAATAATCGCTTCTGCCTGTGCCACAAATTCGTTTAATGTGGGTCACTGCGGAGGCGTCGCTCACTTTGCCAGTCAACATTTTTTTAGGCACTGTGTTTTAATGCTGAGCTAGCGTTATATGGGGCGAGAAGGAGCGGGAGCGGGAGCGAGGGGAGCAGGAGGTGTGTGTTGTGTGATGCTTTTTATAATCGAATTAATTAAAATTTTACACACTGGCTGCGACGGCAAAGTTCTGTTCTCTCTCTCTCTCTCTCTCTCGCACACACACCACCTGCTGGCTGCGGCTGCTACTGCTGACTCTTTAAAGTTGGCAACACTGAGCGAAATTCGCAATGGGAAATTTAAGCGAATTGAAATATTATTATTTTTGATTTTTGAAATTTTATAGTTTTGTTTTGCTTACTAAGCTTTATTGTTTTTGCCCTGACATTTTTATTTGACATTTGTTTCGCTGACTGTATACATTTTTAGCCCGCATGCTGCAGTTTCCGTTCCTTGGAACTTGAAGCCCCTCCCGCTTGTCTGCCTGGCTGCCTGCCTTGCGTTGTTAAGCGAAGTTTCCAATTCAGTGAACTTTTTGTTGCCAGCTGCCTGCCTGATCGCCCTCTGTCACCACCCCTCCCCCGCCCCCCTGCTCCCTTATCGTGTCAGGCAGTGATACGTTGCCCACTTTGCCAACTCCCTCCCAGCCCAACCCAGTCCAGCCTTTCTTTCACAGTACGTGGTGTCAGCTAAACAAAAGCTTTTGTTGTTGCTGTTGAAAATGATTCCAACCAAAAGCGTTTCACACACACACACACATTGGAGGCGTCTCCAAATCGATGCTCCGATTGCTGTCTGTTGCTTGTTGGCTAAAGCCTGACGACAAACAGGTCAGTTAGTGTCCTGCATAATCGCTACAGCTGTCAGCAGCAGTTGACAGCTCTTTCGATTTGAATCTGACGTCACAAAACAAACCACGAGAAATGTGATTAAGGTTGTCATCATATGCACACACAGATGCCGACTAAAAAAAATTCAAATTCCCAATATTTTTTTTGAGCACCCTTCCATAATTCCTTCAATCGCTTGTATCATTTTACTCTGTAGATTGTGGACAATTCTAGCCATTATATCGCATTGTCACTAGTTGATAAAGTCATTAATCGAATTAGTAGCACAGCAGGCTTAGTTTTAGCTTAGCTAACCGCATATTTGGATTGCGCAAATTACGTATACGCCGCATTGTGCTTGGGAACTTTTGCTATTGTTCCTTTTGACTGATGCGCATATTATATGTATTATCATATATTGTTGTCCTGGGAAGGTAAACTCAGCTCAGCTCAGCTCAGTTCAGCTGTTGCGTCGCTGTATGCAAAAGTTTTTAGGCTCATTCGTGCCGTTTCATTTATTGCTTAAATAATTCATGAACTTCCTTCCTGTTATCTTTGGTTTGATTCTGTTCCGTTTTGTTGTCGTTCATCTGTGGCACATTGATGTGCCACTCTCGCTGGCTGTTAGCGTTAACGGTGCTTACAGCCCGCTTAATGGATGGCCGAACAAAGGGTCGCCGCATCCGCTGCTTTAACCTCTACTCCCCCAAATTGCCCAAATAACCTTCAGCTCCATGTGTATCTGTCTGAGTGTGTGTGTGTGTTTGTGTGCTATTTACATAAAACTTTTACATTGATTTCAGTTCTCGAACAAACAAAAACTTAACCTGTGTACTCCAAATCTCTAATATATGAAAATCGCTTACTTATTTATGCATGCAGAGCGATAAGTGGATGAGATGAAAGAGCAAGGACCAAAACATGAGGTAGAGAACAAAGTTTCAGGATACACACTGCTAATACAGTTACAAATTGAAATAACAAATAAATCAATTTTAAAATGCCAGCTAATAAGTAATTCCAAAAAAGAATTACCTGAAAAGATACATAAACATAAAAGTCCTCAAACATTTATTGAATTTATGTAAAAATTAAGGCAACAATTATTATTATTATTCACCCAGCTGTTCCAAGCGTTCAGCAAACGAAATTTCACATTTCTTAAACCTATTATTCATATTTATTACCTAATTTTTAAATTTAGAATTACTCTATAAATCAAAAGCACACTTTACAATTACTAAGCTGAATTCAGCTTGGGTTTGAGATTCTTATAAGCTTTAAATAAAGGTATTTCTCTAGGTAAATAACAGCTTATTATTCTCAAACAGTCTAAGCACAGCTGAGTTGGTATTCTATAAAAAAAAAGCCCTTTTACAATGGAAATTATATTTGTTAGCTAATTTATAATTGTAATACTTCTGTATAAATCAAAAGGAGGCTTTACAATTCCTAAACTAAATACATTTCCCGACCTTATAAGCTTTAACTAAAGGTGTTTCTCTTGATATTCTATAAATAAAATTAAATCAACCCTTTTCCCATTTCGTTAGTTTAACTGTTTATTCGAAAAGATGTAAAACTCGTAACTGTAACTGTAACTGTAACTGTACCCACCATGTTTCCTTCCACTTTGGTGTTTCGATTCGCAAGGTGTTTGTTTTTGTATTTTTTTCGCCTGCTGCGTGTTCTTTGTGTCTTTAATCTAGTGTCAATACGGCGGCGGTCAACAAGCTCAAGCAACAAGAACAACAACAATAATAATGCGACGATTATGACGAGGAGCTAGCCAACTATTTATTGGGCACACTAATCACGACCGGGCGAAAAATAAACAATGCGCTGACAGCAGCTGTCGTGACAATTGTTTGTTGTTGTTTCAGTTTCAGTTGTCCTTTTATTTCTTGGTGTTCTTATTGTTGTTTTTGGCTATAACTGTAACTGTTACGGTTTCGGTTTAATGATTGTGAATGATGACAATTGTTTTGGAGGAGCCATAAACGCAATCAATCAAATAGAAAACGCGACTGCCGTCGCCGATAACCGTTGCGAGTGGCGAACAATTTGCGAATGTTAACTGTAACTGTAAATGTAGCACTTTTTAACTGTTATTGGCAGCAAGGAAATTGAGACGACTAAGACGACGACAATGTACGCAGTTAGCAGCAGCGACGACGATGGCAAACTGACTAACGGTAAACAGCGCCATCAAACGACAACGACGACGACATGATGACCTTCACCAACACGCACAGCCGAAGGAAAGTGGCCAAAAAAAGCAAACTTTTCGCACACACACAAACACACACAGAGACACTCACATACACAGAGAGAGAGGAAAACAACAACAACAAAGCTGTGGCGCTGTCATCAGCAACAGCAGTAGCATTAGACAAAACAACAACAGCAGCAAGCAGCAAAAAGGCGCCTGGCAAAAAAGCTTTGATTTCGTTTTGCGTGTTGCGTGCCGAGCAGCAGAGCCGAGAAGTGAGTTGAGCTCAGTTTCAAGTGCAAAATTCCCATCAACTTTGCGAAAAAGCTGCAGCTACTCTCTTTCTGTGTGTGCGTGCGTGCGTGATTGGTGGCTCTCTTTACGAGCTGATAGAGCGCAAGGCAAATTCGACAAGGGTGAGTAGTAGAGTGAGACTGAGCGAGAGAGCAATGTAAACATAACACAACATAGCGCTGCTTTATTTTGCATTCATTGCGTGCAGGTATTTTATGCTCCTCGTGTCAGAGTACTTTGATATGCGTATTTTGTTTGCGTCAATTTTAAGTATGTCAATTTAATATTTTTATTAAAGAATATAGTTGAATCTGCAAGCTGCCTATGCAATTTCTCAATTTTAAAGTTGCCCTCCAAATCATATAACTGTCATAAAATATTGTTGAAGAATAGAGAGAAGTAAAACTTCGGCTCTTCGAAAAACAAAGCAGTTATTTACTGTTACCTTGTTTGTCATAGGGGCAAGCAGACAAACCAAAGCTTAAATTATGCTACTAACAGGCTCGTTCTCTCTTTCTCTTACACTCTCTCTCTCTCGCAGAGTGCAAAAGCTTTTTAGGCTGACCATAATAATATTATGAACTTGAGATTGGAATGGAATGGAGTGAGTGGATTTGGGGAACTCACTGCTGACAGAGGTCTGATCGAAATGATGGCTTCGTCAAACTTACGATATCCTCCTCGGGAATGGTGGTGCAGGAGGTGCGCACATGACGCACTCGATGCATGGCGTCCAGGCTCAAGCGATGCTCGTGGTCATCGCGCAGCATTGCATCGAAAACGGCAACGCCGCCATCGATGCTGCTCTCGCGCAAAATGCGACCACCTCGGCCGCTAAAGGAGCCACTGGAGCCCTGGTACAACGGGTGGTGGTGCTGCTGTTGCTGTTGATGTGGCGTGGTATTGTAGCTGACGCCCACCTCGGAGAAGGAACGAATGCGCAACGCGCCATTCTCATCGGTGGTGAGTGCAACGGACTTGAAGCGATCAATAACCGCATCCTGAATGCCATTCACACTCAGCTGATTGCCCATGGCGATGGCGATTGGCGGCAATCACTCAATCACTAAGGCACTACTCCTATTCGCGACACTCGGCAACACGCGGCCACACAATAATTATGCAAAAGGGCAGCAGCCGCTTAAGTACGCTTCTTTACAGCGTCAGGATGTTTATCAAACTGAAAGTCCACTCAGGCATTCAACAGGCAACAGGCAGGCAGCTGACAGCACCACCAGCCTGGCAGAGTGTGTGTGTGCGTCTATGTGTGTGTGTGTGTGTGGGCGAGAGAGAGAGAGAGAGTCCACAGGTGCTGCAACTTTTGCTTGCAGCTATACCAGCAGCAACAGCAGCAGCCTTTTCCCAGGAATCATTGCAAGCTTTCAAGCTTACACTGCTCGAGCCCCTCCCCCTGCAATAATACCCCCCGCAAATGCAACCTGTCTGTTTACACATACTTATAACACACACATATACGTCTATATTCGAGGGAGTTTGAGAGAGTGTGAGTGTGTGTGTGAGCGAGAGAGTGAGAGAGAGTGAGAGAGAGAGAGAGAGAGAGAGAGAAACCAGTGAACCGTTTGAGAATCGCACGCTTCTTGTGTGGGCATATTTTGTTTTATTTTCAAATACGTTCAACAACTGACCCCAAAATAGCCCCATTGAGGCTTATTATTGATTTGACATGTTAGTCGATAATAGCCACTCTTGTTCGCCCAGGGATGCGACAACAATGGAACTCAACAGAAATTACATATTACATTAAAAATAAAACAAAAGGATGAAAAGACCGCGATTTTCTTACACAAAAACTTTTTAAATACAACTTTTTGATATATGTATATGCTTTCAAAAAGTTATGTGAGTGGAAAGACTTAAACCCGTCTCTTCTCGCACTATTTTAGATAAACATTAAGTTGGAGTCGTCGAAACAGATTTTTGAAAAACGGGTAAGTTCAAGGACAAGTTTCGCTAGAATCTCGACTAATCTCCAAGGATATGGAAATTTTTGGAAGCGTCCAATTTTTACATGAATACTTTGTTTATAATTAAAAGAATACCACACTAGTTAATTTTTTAATCAGAAATCCGAGTGTGTAGAGGGGGTTGGGGGTAGGGTTATAGATGTATATGCAATATTTAAGAACAAATTAGATTTACAGATGAAGAAGAAAAAGTGAATTTTTCACTCTATTGAGGAGATTTTTCCTTTTCGAGGCCACGCGGCGACTTGGCAATGATTTAATCCTCTTGCGTGTAGTCCTCGAACCAGCCGGTTTGCCCCGACACGCATTCATCCTTAAAGCTGCACAGCGTTTTGCCCACATTTTGATATTCCTTAATGCTTGGCTTTTGCTGGCTAATTGTAGGGCGCCATCAGTGTTAAGATCACAAGCACGACGAGCGGCTAAATAGGGTTCCTGTTATATTCCCCAGGCGCGAGGATATCATTAAATATGAAACTTAAGCGCAATTCAAAGAAAGTGAGAGATACCTGCTCGAACAGTAATTTATCGTTGGGTTTGAGACGATGCCACAAGTCTACGGCATCTAATATTAGCTCCCTATCCGTTTGAGATTGATGGCTGCCTGCCAGTTCGCATTCGCGTATGAAATTTAAATAGGGATTCTTCGTTAGCAACCACGGTATCGACATCATTGGAAACCGAAGCAAAAAAAAAAAGAAAAGAAAACCGTAGCCGAAAACCCGATACGTTTCAATTTAATTTCGTGTTGAGATTTTATGTTTTTTTCTTCAGCTGTTTATACTTGTAATGCTGCCTGTAAACTGACTAACTCCCAGTTTTGGTATTGGAGCTCTTCCTCGAATCAAGGCCTACTGAAACAGGAAACTTTTCCTCATAAGGAAAAGTTGAGCCTTGTGGTGAATTCTCTTTTACAAGAGCTTAATTTTAGACCGCTCCTAAAATGTGTGCGAGAAGTTGCCGACATACAAAACGATCTCAAATATTCCTCATTTTTTCGTTTTTTCCTGATTGTATATCAATTGATTATACCGTTTTTTGCTGAAATACAAAGAGTATTAATCTAAATTTTAAATCTCTCTCTCTGAGAACTTCAGCAAGCCGGCCGCTTATGCTACGCTGTGTCCCAAATTCGGCACTTATATTTATAGAACCATATTAAGTGATCAGAGCAGACAGGGGAATAAATATGCACAGTAAGTGATCAGATAACAATTAGAGATTTAAGTTGAAACTTACCCGTTCCAGTTTCTGGAAATAGTTGCGCAGGAATTGCACAGGATTGTCCGGTCGGCAGACGCACAACTGGACGATGCAGTCTTTGAGTACACGCTGGATGCCATGCGATTGTATATAGTGTTCGCATTCCCGCAAGCTCTGCTCCTCCAAAGTCTTGGCCATCATATAAGACATGTGTATTGGAATTCTGTGTGTGTATGGGTGTGTGTGTATGAGTGTATGGGTGTGTGTGTGAGTTGAAGGTTTGTGTTGGTCGAGCGTGTTGGAGCTGTATAGATTGCGTATGTTGCAGATTTTTAATTTACTCGATACGCAATATGCGCAAACCAAGTGTTGGTGTTGGTATGTGTGCGTGTGTGTGTGTGCTGCTGATTGTTTGGCTGTGGTTTGTGGCTGCTGCTTTCGTTACTGCTGTTGCAGTTGTTGTAGTCGTCGCACGAGTTTTAATTGTGCTGCACAGCGTAGAAATCAAGTAAATAAACTTATTGGAATTGGGCGTCAAGTGCACCGCCGCGAGCACCACTTGTGTATGTACATAGGCATAAGTATGTGGGGGGAGATGTGTGTGTTAATGCCTCTTTTTTCCTTTTCTCTTTGCGTTTGCTTTTGATTTTCTTTTTTTTTGCAGATTTCTTTGCCTTTTGCTTTTGGTATTTGCCTTTGCTGGTGGCTTTTGGCACTGTTTTCACTTTTGTAATACACTTCGTTTATGGGTGGTGTTTAATAAGATGCTGCTGCTGTTGTTGTTGTTTGATTTCATGCACATTTGCTGCAGCATTCAGAACACTTTCTCTGGTCTTTCGTTGGGGCGAAAAAGTGCTTTTTCTATAAAACTTAACTTATTTTCACGCACGTAAACCACTGCAGTTGTTGTTGTTTTTCGATTTAGTGATGGGCGTTCAGTGTGACCGTGCCAGTATAAAAATATACCGTACAGTTCGCTTATATCGTCTATCGCTATCGATAGCACGCTCTTTGCACTTCATTTATAAATATGCAGAGGTATGCAAATATTTGAATTCAAAGATTCAAGATAACAAAAAATATGACATCCATGTGCATATCAAAAGTAGACCAAAAATAATTAAAGATACCTATCTAATTATCGTGTGTGCACAATCGATAGCTATCGCTCGATAATGGAAATTTCACAACACTATCTACTTTTTGGTTGGCTTAGAATAACGGTGCAACGGAAGACTGCTGCTTAAATGTTAACTTAATCAAATCCAAAAAAACGAGCTCGAAAACCAGTAGCTATGTGGATGATACAAGTGAACAGCAAGTTTTTGTGCCAACCATCAAAGGTATGTAGACTGTTGTAGCAGAAATAACTGCTCGAGCAGACGCACCATGCAATTGGCTTTCGGATTATTATTGATTTTTCACTCGCACACAGCTAAAATGCTGCACACGGAATCTTTGCCCGCACATCAAGGGATCTACACGCCGCTAAGTCAGGCAATGAGCGATTCCGAGTCCGATGAGGAGATTGAGATACACAACGCTAGCAAGCATCAGCGACAGCGACAGCTAAAAACACAACAGCAACAGCAGCACACACAGCAGCAACAGTTGCAACTGCAACAGCAGCAGCAACAGCAAAATCAACGCATCCGAAATCCACCAAATACTTTAGCTTTAAAATCGCCACACACTCGGCCAACGGCCACACGCATTGTGGGCGGCTCTCAGCTGAAGCAGCAATCAAATAAAGTCAAATTGGAAAATAGCAACAACGGCAACAGCAACAACAGCAGCAGCAGCTACACCAACAACATGCAAAACACATTTCGATCCGTGATGCTTAGCGATTTGGGCGGCGGCGGCGGAGGATCAGCAGGCGCCAGCGCAGGCGTTGAGTTCTCCAATTTTAATGGTGACTACGATGTGAGTGCGGATAATGTTGCCATCCTCGGCAGCCACACGGATGAGGCGAAGCGTTTGCCCATGTCAACTAGGAGACGTTGTTGTTTCATTGCCTCCTTGTTGCTGTGTCTGTTTGCAGTTGTGGGCTTCGTTTGGATTGTGCCCTGTGGCAATGCAGATGGCACTGGTGCCTGTCCGGCGCCCGTCGATCGCATCAAGACACACAACTGGCTGAATAACTATACCAGATGTGAGCTGAGGGGTGGCGTCAATGTTGTTGCTGGCTTGCGGGCGTGGGAGAATAATTTGATATTCCTTTATCGTGGCGATGTCTTCTATCCGGAATTCCGACCCGACGAGCACAAGCGGAATGGCATCATCTCGCTGATCGGCAGCTCGGGAGTCGTCGCGTGGTATGATGCGACTGTGGACGAGCCGGTGGCCATTGATTGTACGCTGCTCGATGTGGATAGCAATGGCAAGCCCGATTGTCTGGTCATCGATGAGTACGGCGAACTGGGCGCCATCAATTCGGCAAGTGGTCAGTGGCATTGGCGCTTCATGGATCGGGCGGCCCACAAACTGGACGTCTATGATTTTCCCTTGATACTGCCCGATATCGATGACGACGGCGTGCTGGATATATTGCTGATATCGTGCATAACGTTGGAGCAGCGCACCAAGACTTTTGTGCAGCAGGAACAGCAGCCGGGCTCGGCGGCAGCAGCAGCGCTCGAGGCACGCAACGTGCTCCGCCTGCTCTCCGGCAGGGAGGGTAAACCAATTGGAGAGGGCTTTCGCATTCATGACTGTCAGAAATTGTCCAAGCTACAGCTGGACACAGCAGCGGGATCTGGCGCCGCTTCAGCGGGCACATTGAGCATCAGTTACAGCTGCTGGCGCAACAGCACGGAGCTGCAACGCTCGAAGACGCTGGCGGAGCTCTATGCTCTGATTACGAACAAATCGATTGTGGGTCGCCGACTGTTGCCCGCCTCGAAGATCGCCCAACATCGTCGCTATGGGCAGCGCAAGGATATGGATGCACAGCGCAATGTGTATTTGCTGAGTGGACGTGAGCTGATCGTGGAGAATCGTGGCAAGTGCCCGGATTGCAATGTGACGTTGAAGTTGAGTGAAACTCACGACGGACGTCGGACCACGTTGCGCAATTTCACTAATAGTGGCATGTACGGCATGGTGCCGGCTCAGTGGCACTTTAAGAACACCAAATCAAAGATGTCTGGGTTTGTCATCAAGTTCTGGAAGTGGCACGATGAGGCAGGCAAGCAGGAGCAACCACACTCGAAGGCAAGCAGTGGCAGCAGCAGCAAAAACAACAACAACAGCGTGGACAAGAGCCACAATTACACAAACAGCAGCAGCAGCAGCTCCTCTTCCACCTCCTCCAAGAACATCATACGGGACAAGGACAAAAGTAAGGACAAGTCATACTCCAAGGCGCAGCAGCAGCAGCAGAAGAAGCAGCAGCAACAACAGCAACAGCAATCACAACGCTTGAAGCGCTCTGATGCAGTGCATCATCATGAATTTCCCGCGGCACGCTTGGAATTCGATGCCTTTGACCATCTATTGCATAAACGTGACGCCTCATTCCATGTGCCCAATCACGGCAAGAATCAGACAGCCAAACCGGGCGCCCAAATGAAGAACTACAAGATGCAAATGATAACGGAGACGGTGATATTGGTGTTATTCATTGGCGCTGATACGCGGATCGAGAACACCTCGCAGAGCAACATTGTTCAGTTCTGTCGCAGTGATCACAACAACGAGAACAGCGAGGAGATGATCTGTCAACCGGATCTGACCAATCAGGAGAACTCCATGCTGATAGCCGATCTCGATCAGGATGGCAGCCAAGAGTTGGTCTCCTACATGTCCACATTCGTGCAGGACAACGTCGATGATCCAGCCAGCGATTGGAAACTAGTCAGCTATGTCCGACTGCTGCGTCTGCAGTCCGAGTTGCCCGCCTTCTACGATCAGGAGAAGCGCAACTAGACGGCATACTTGCCACACTTGATGGATGATGGATTATGACAGCATTTAAACAAGAGTACTTAGTAGTTAAATTGCTAGTTGCATGTATTACGATTACAATTAACAATTACGATTGTACTATATATATATAAATATATATATATATATTATAAATAGAACCCTTTTCTAGACTCCTACCTCCCTGCCTCCCCCCGTAAAATAAAGCACTCGTGGAAAATAGTCGCCACCAGATGTGAACTTTAAATCTTCGAATTGCAACTGCCACAGATAGTCTATACATTTTGGGATATTGCTTTCTATTTAAAAATCGATTTTATAACGTATTTTTAACTTAACTTTTAGCAACGGACAAATACAAAATTGGGATCGGGAATGCCCTGGCATTAATAAGCCCTTACATCATTTTTGTGACGAAACAAAAGATTATAATTACAATTCCTTCAGCTACAGTTACAAAAGTTGCACACTTTGTTTTTGTTTATATTTTTGTTTTTGCTTTTGCTTTCGCTTAAGAGAACAACTAACTAACTATTCTACCACTTTTGACTGGTAGATCTTCCGAATCTGACCAATAACAACGTCGCCTCCTTATTGGCTAATATCGTTAACATAACGCTTGTTGCTCGCCTGAAAGTTGGCCGATGACCACTGTTCCATTATGATCTTAAACTCGGCCTCCAAACGTTGCAGTAACGCCGAATTTGCACTATGATTTAGCTTCTTGAGCGACCGATAATGCTGCAAAAAAGAGAGCGATTTAACAAAAGGATATATAAAAGTTGAGTATACTCACCTCTGCTGTAGTGCTGGAAATGAGATTGGCCGCCGCCAGAGCCTCATCGTTGACGCTGCGCGATTTGCAGGTCATGTCGATGAAGCTGCTCGGGTAAGCAATCAAATCCGATGTGTGCAATCGCTCTCCCAGCAGAAACAAACGAGATTGCTGCAAAGTGGAACGCACACAAAATTAATAATAGTTAAAATATAAATAAAATTATAATATAAAAGAGGAGGAGTTCCAGGACGCTAGAGCACATCCACAAATCTTGGAAATAAATAATTTAATAATTGTCAATGGCTTTGGAAGCGAAACTGTTCAATAGTTTACCCACCACTTGACTGGCGACCTTTTGATGCGTTTGCCACAGAGCATAGCCCTCCGGCAGTTGTCCCAGCTTGGCATAGTTCGTCTCGAAACAGCAGTCATCGGCAGCGACCACATAGTCGAGCAGTGGCAATTGCATAACGCCCAGATTCTTAAGGTTGCCCACAATGCCAGCCACAATTGGCTTGGGGAATGTTGCCAAAGTGCGCAGATATGTTCTAAGCAAGAGAAGAAGCTTTAATCACATATTTGTTGTAACTAGAGATATATATATTAAAATCGGAACTTACTTTAGTACTAAGGCCAGTTGTGTGGCGTTATTTTTGCGCTTCTCCAGCGTGGCTGCCAGCAACTCCTGGCAATCGATGCCCTGACAGAAATGTTGACCCTGAACGCTTAGGAGCACCGTATTGCAATCGTTGCTCTTGGCCAGTTTGTTCAACGTTTCGGTTAGCTTTTGCAGCAGCTGCATTTTGTAGGTGTAACCCGTTTTGGAGAGCTGCACGTGGATGATCAGCTGCATGACCTTGTCCAGCTTGTGCAGCGTAACCAGCTCCAGTTTGACAGACTTTGGCTCCTTGGTCGCCTGCTGTTTCAAATCGTTGGCAAGCGTTTGCGGTGCATCGCCATCGCTTCTTTGGTTCGCTTTTGTTTCGGGCTTCAAGAATTTGAATGTCGGATGATCGGCAGAGTCTGAGGCATCATCGGACACAGCAGCCGGTTTGTTATCCAGCGACAGCCGGTTAACAGATGCATTGCTCGAATAGGAGCTATTCGAACGCCGACGCATAATCATTGATTCCTCGCTAGCGCGCTGCTTATACACATAATCCCAAGAATCTGACGGACGTTGCTTGGCTGCCTTTGTAGCGAACACAGCATCCACAGCGTTTGTTGTCGATGCACGCTTGCTGCCCGCTTTGGGTGGACTCTCCTTTTTGGGTGCTGCTGTTGGCGTCACATCAACAACAGTTGTTGTCCCTGCTGCTGTTGCCACGCCTGCGGCTGCTTTCAGTGGCTGTAAAGGGAGCTAAGTTTAATGGCCATACTTTTCTCGATATATGTGAACTTACCCGCACAGTAACGGATAAAGTACGCTTGCGCATTAGCGGCTTGTTGGCTGTTTCGCCACCGCTGAGTTCGCGCTTTTCCCGCTCGACGGCCTGCATCATATTGGCGGCGCCCTCATCGCCCATCAGTCGATCGATTTCGCTGACCTTTTTCTTTTTGGCCAGACTGGTGCTGGAGCCACCATTGGCCACCACATTTGGTGTTTGTGAGCGACGCTTGGGCGGTGATCCGCCCGATATATTTGATTCTGATAGCTTTGATGGCGTCGCTGCACGTTTTGCTGCCGTCACCTTGGATGACTGCGGATCCCTGGGTGTTGATGGTCGCACCTTCTTTGACGCCAGCACAACGCAGGTTGCTGTTGTTGTTGTTGTTGCTGCTGCATTTCCTGTTGTTATTGCATTAGTGTTTGTCGTTGCTGCGACCTTTGAACTCGCATATTGTGCAAAGGACTTTTGGGTTTCAGGCACATCAGGATCCCAAATGATTTTGCGCTTGATGACGCGCGTTCGCTTGAAGCCTAAGCAAAAACAAAAAGGGAATGATGAGGAAAGATATATGGAATCGGTTTAACAGCCGAGCTTCACTAATCGGAAGTTCCATTTATGCAAGCCAAGCATAAATCTCATGGGTTCAATAACAAATTCAATCTTAAATCTGGGCAAGGCCTACTTCTGTCTCTCTGCTCTTCTGCATTCAATTCTTACCAGTTGCTTCTGCATTGCTATTGCTGAGAATGGGCACGGATTGATCCGCAGTAGTTTTGGCTTTCTCTACGGGCTTTACGCTTGTGGATTTGAGCGTCACCTTAACGCTACCAATCATTTGCGGCACTTCAATCGCATTCTTGGACTTTTTGATCAGCGACGACGACGGCGGCAGCTTCTTTGTGGCAGGCGGGGAAGAGGCTATCGCATTTTGGTTGGATTTGGTATTGGAATTGGAGGCATTATCGCTGCCGCTATCGTACTCATTCCAATCATCATTCAGTGAACTGATTATGTCCAGTGGCTGTGATTGCTGCTGTTTGACATTAGACGTGGTGCGACGCGCCTTCTGCGCCTTTAGATCGGCCATTTGCTTGAGGGCAACGGCACGTGCCTGCTCCGGCGAGAGTTTTTGTTTACCCAGCTTGGAGCCCGTGTTGGTGGACGTTGTCGGACTGCTGGCAGCGGCGGCAGCAATGGGACTGGGTCCGCTCGCATTTTCACCATCGTCGATTTCCATGATCTCGTATTGGCCTTCGCCTTCGATGGTAACGCCCACATTGTCCAGCTCGGCCAGAGCCAGCTCAATGCTGGCCTTTCCCAATGCCGGCTTCGATTCGTGCTGATCCTGATCGGTGCCCTTGAGCAACGCTATCAAATCAACATCCTCTAAGGCGGCCGTTGTTTCCGGCTTCTCTTTGACCTCTTTAATAACGGGTGTGCAACGTTTTGTTTTAGCCAGTTCATCAATGTGCTGGAAAGCGTTGTTGCCGCTCCCATTGCCATTTTCGGATTTACTGGCCGTCGCAGAATTCTCCTGATCCGCCGCTGATGTCTCCTGCTTCTGCTTCTCCTCATCGCCGTCGGCGTCGTCGTCGTCCAAACCGGACTCGGTAGTATGCCCGATGTTGTGCATTTTTGCTATTTCCTGTTCCAATGAGCTCAACTCATCGAGCTTGTCCACTTTTGGGTCCGCATCGTTGCATGAAATGTTTTTTTCCTCATGTTTGGATTCCGATGCGCCCGCTTTTTTTTCTGCTTCTTCTACATTATTTGATTCTGGCTTTTCCGATGCTGCCACTTGCTGGCTCTGATCTGCATCCAGTTTAGTGTCATCCACTTCGGCCATGTTCCGAGTGGCTTCAAATTGGCCTTAACTCAAGTAAAAGTTAACTCAAACTTCCAAAATTCCAATGCACTCTGGTATAAGATTTCTTCATGCACTTGCTGCAACAGCGGCCATTTTATAGTGATGCACGTTTGATAAACTATTATTCGATACAAGCGCTTATGGGCATTGACTATCGTGAGTACGGTCAATCAAACAGGTGACAACTCTAGCAATAAATATGTATCATTTTTATCGATATGTTGCCATGTTTGGCGTATCGATAGTGACATCGATAGATTGGCAGCGCACATCTCTACCCCCTACACCACTCCGATGAATACTTTATAGAAAAAAAGTCTCATCTGCAGCAGGATAAACGCTGATAAGAAAGCAATTTGTTTATTTTATAGGCAAGTTCTATAAAATTTATTGCGAAAAATCAAATCATCAAATAAAGGGCAACGCAAGCGCAAGTTGTAACATTAGCGACAAACGCGCAAAACCGCTCTGCCGTAGCGGCGACAATAGCAACAACAACATCAGCAACACCAACAACTAAAAGCCCAACAACAACAGCAGCAAAATACACAATTTTAGGATGTGGGACTCGTCAATGTTTCTGAGCACATTGACGCCAAAGTTTTACGTTGCGCTCACAGGCACCTCGAGTCTAATATCCGGACTAATACTCATTTTCGAATGGTGGTATTTTCGCAAATATGGCACCTCATTTATCGGTGAGTTTTTTTTTTTGTGAATTTTGATTTCTAAATGTCAAACTGTATTTTGCATATATAAATGTTGTTGTTGTTTTTTATTTTGTTGCAGAGCAAGTTTCGATCAATCACATAAGTCCGTGGATCAATGGCAACGATGCACAATCCGATAATGGCAGCGGCAGCAGCACCAGCAGCGGTTCAAGTAGCTGCAGCAATAACGGTCATGGTGGCGGTGGCAACGGCGGCGGCAGTGGTGGTGGTGGTGGGGGCGCCAACTCAAATTCAACCACCAGTGGCACACCCGAATGTAAAGTGTGGCGCAATCCATTAAATCTGTTCCGCGGTGCCGAATATCAGCGCTTCTTTTGGGCCACCAGCAAAGAGCCCTTGACGTATTATGACATGAACCTCAGCGCACAGGATCATCAGACGTTCTTCACATGCGAGGGCGACGCACGCAAAGAGGAATATGAAATTATGCAGACGGCATGGCGTGAACGAAATCCAATGCAACGCATCAAATCAGCACATAACGCGCTAGAGATCAATGCCGAATGCGCACCAGCTTATATACTGCTTGCCGAGGAGGAGGCCATGACCATACTGGAGGCTGAGAAAATACTGAAGACCGCACTGAAAGTGGCCGAAATCAATTATCGTAAATCGCAGGCAACGCAACATCAGGGCGCAATTGCCGACGGTGTCCATCGGCGGGACACGAATGTGTTGATCTACATCAAGCGTCGACTGGCCATGTGTGCCCGCAAGCTGGGCAAGCTCAAGGAGGCAGCGAAAATGTTTCGTGATCTCACCAAGGAGATACCATCAATAATGAGCGTGCTAAACATCCATGAGAATCTAATCGAGACGCTGCTTGAGATGCAGGCGTATGCCGATTGCCATGCCATATTGGCCAAATACGATGACATCTCGCTGCCCAAATCCGCAACAATTTGCTATACGGCGGCACTGTTGAAGGCGCGCGCCGTTGCCGATAAATTCTCGCCGGACATTGCATCAAAGCGTGGCTTGAGTCCGGCCGAGATGAGTGCGGTGGAGGCCATACATCGGGCTGTTGAATTTAATCCGCATGTACCCAAATATTTGCTGGAGACAAAACCGCTCATTCTGCCGCCGGAGCATATACTCAAGCGTGGCGATTCCGAGGCACTGGCCTATGCATTCTTCCATTTGAAGCACTGGAAACAGGTTGAGGGGGCATTAAATTTGCTTCATTGCACCTGGGAGGGCACATTCCGTATGCTGCCGTATCCGCTCGAGCGGGGACATCTCTTCTATCCATATCCGACGTGCACAGAGTGCGCCGATCGCGAACTGCTGCCGGCCTTCCATGAGGTCTCCGTCTATCCAAAAAAGGAGCTACCATTCTTTATACTCTTCACAGCCGGACTGTGCTCATTCACCGCACTGCTCGCACTGCTCACGCATCAGTATCCGGAGCCAATGGGCTTGCTGGCACAGACAGTACTTACCTGGATATTGTATCCGATCCAGTTGCTCAAGGAGCGCATCGAGGCATTCTGGCCGTGCAATCTCCTCCAGCAGCTATCGCGTGTCTAAGTTCAGCTAATCGAAAAGAAGCGCCAACGCACACACAACATGCACACCACACATACACAGACACACACACGCACACACACCCAAACTTTCAGATACATCAAATTTCGTCTGGCATACGACGGGAAAACCGGGACGCCAACAAAAACACAACTTCAATCCAAGTTGAAAAAAAACTCACACACAGGAATAACATATTATATATACATATACATATATATATATATATATGTATACATATACCATATATTTTGGATCTTTGTCTGTGTTTCGTGAAATAATAAAACTAAAGCAAATATGAACGAATTGCTATATAAGATACCGAAAACGATCAAATTTAGGCGCCTCATTTCGGTTAATCGTTCCTTTAGCTCAAGTAATTATATATATATATATATAAGGAATATATATATATCTGTGTTATACTGTTCGAGCGTTATCGTCAGACTATTTTTTTATTTACTTATGTGTTTGTGTGTGTTTAGATTGGCGTTCGTGTATTGATATAAGTTTTTATTTTATACAAAAATAGATTATACAGAAATGATTATTTAATTATTTATTTAAACATTATTTTGTGTTCATTATTCCTTTGTGCCCGATCTATAAATCGCAATAGTTATACTGACCACCGCAGACTTCACACTTTATGATCTTTGATGTGAAACAAGTTGGATTTTGTGACCAATAATATTTCTTAATATTGTTCAATATTTCCGAACTCTGCTCTTCCAACTGCTGTAGAGCGCAACCCGCATATTTATTCAATAACTGTGAAATAATTGTATATATCACCGATTCGGTGGATATATAGAACTGTACCATAGTTTCTATTTGCTTCACATAGAACTTCACGAACCTGTTTGCCAATTTCAGTACAAATTTCTGCAAATCGACTGGGATTTTCTGATGCAAATAGGATAGCACATTGTCAATGTTATCGCTATCAATGATACGATCCTTAACAAGAGGCCCGTAATAGGTGAGCGCGACCTTTAATCCATTAATCGCAAGTCGCCCGTAATTTTCCCATATGGTGGGATCGGTCAACTCTTGTGGAGAGCCATTCACGTTGCGAATAATGTCCGCTTCGCCTCTGTTCGCGCCCCCATTGCCTGTTGTCACCGTGGACAGTTGTTCATACGTGCTCCTGAAAAGAAAACATTTAAAGTTACAATTTAAATACAGAAAAATAATAATTTATTATTTATTCTATATATAAGGTAGTCATTTCTAATACCGTTGACGATTTTGAAGAGGCACGTGAAAAGAGTCTTGATTGCGGCTTTCTCTGATAATGGTTGACGCAAGCTTAAAATTGTACACGCTGTGTGTGAATACCACCAGCGAAGCGGATAACTGTAGGACATCCATGGCAGATATAGCAGCATCATCTCGCTTTTTCTGCAAAAACGTACATATACAATTAATTTGATACACTTTTGCACTGATTAAGGACAAAGGCTCACCAGATACAAATCGAAGGCGACGTTAGCGAGACCAGCCCCTGATATAATAATGCATGAAATGTTGAAGCCATTAACAGCGTGTTCATTGAACTAGGGATTAACAAGTGTAGAGTCAAGAGCCAGGTCAAACAATGTGCACAATGCTTCCTACCACTTACCGTGTTAACTTCACATTCTGATTTTGCGACCCGTGCCAATACGCGATTAGCAACAGTTACGCCAAGTGCAACAGTGCCTCCGACGACGGCAAACCAGTCTTTGCGTGCCGAACGATTCGTCACACTGATGGACTGCTCATGGATGCTGCGATTGACCAGATTGACACTGGAACGTGCTGTCGCATAGCTTACACAGCTGACACTCACAACACCAGCCGCAGCTATAATGGGTGCGGCAACAGGCAGCGCTAGCAGAGTGCATGCCAAAGCTCCTCCAACTCCTATTACACCATCCAGCTTTTGAAGTGCTTTACGCCGGGGCGACGCCGCTGGCGTCAAGCGGTTCTCCAGCAGCACGATGCCGTCGATCAGAGTGTAAATGCCACGTGCTGGTGCAACCATTATGCCAGCGGGTAACTGATTGTTGGCCAAGTATGCGTCCCAGTTCTGATAGACGCGCCCATTTTCGTCCACAAAGATCATGCAGCAATTGGAGCTACTGTTACTATCTAAATTATCAGCTGTGCCAGCACAAGAAACGCAATCCAAATTAATCAACTAAATAGATCAAATTGACATGTTATCTTACAAGTGCAACGGCGGGTACGGTATACGGGATGGCATGACCAATTGGATCTGGATTCCGCAGCCATATCCAGTTCTTCTTCTGTTTTATCGATGGCAACCATTACAAAAATGAGTGATGTCAACGATTGTCTATTGGTGTATTTACCTGCACGATTAAATTGATATACATCTATATATATATATACTAACTGGAATAAACTTACGCTGCTCCCAAACGCTATTAAACATAGCTTCGCGCACTTCCGGATCTTTAGTAATATTATCTATTTTGAGCTTCAAAGTATCAGGTTGGTTTTCTGGTGTGCTATATAGACAAGTCAAGTATATATATATATATATATATATATATATATATATATATATATATATATGCATGTGCATACACTTATAACTGCTGCGCAATACTTACAGATCCCATGTGATTTTATTGTCAAAGCAAAGGGTCTCGGCAAATAACTGCTGCGCCTCACGGATGCTGCGTTCATTACTTTGTCCCGTTCTTCCGTTATTTTGAGCATTCGCCATTTTCGTATTGTTTAATTATTGTCTGCCCTCTGCACTTCGCTGTAGTTAGCTAATAATTTGATTGGTGGAATATCTTTACTTTTTATTACTACCGATAAGCAAAAGTCTAAGTGCTCAGATAATAAGCTGTGCAACGACTTGATTTGTGGGAACTACCTCTTTCTACTGCTAAAGATAATATATGGTGATGCTAGCGATGGTGATCTGAATCATTTATATGTGTATCGAATATCCCCAGAGATGTAATTTTCCAACAATCGATAGTGGGCGGTAAGTAGTCCAGTTATCGATCAGTGACGATCTCAATATCCGTTATCCGTGGATCACATTTACTAAAACATTCAATTAACAGGCCATTAAATCTTATTACACTTGTGTTTAGCTGAAATACGAAATGAATGCACAACAATATCATAATATATGCGCAACCCATTCGCGACTCTCGACACATCTCGTATACACATACATTCATTTGAAATTTCTAGACCGGTTTCTTGTATAAAAAGAATACAGAAAAAAACAAACTCCCCAGAAGATTGTTATTGGGCTTTCTTTGATTTCGTGCTGTTAAACCGGGTTTTTTTTAGCATCAGACACACGGCAATTACGTCCCGCCCCTCATTTGGTGACTCAGTCAACAATTATTGTGCTTTGTTGACATGGTGGACATTGGTCCCATCTTTATCCGATTCGCAGGAATTTTGAATTTCCACAGTGCAGTGTAACGGCGCAACACGCAAGCAAAACATACATTTTTATATATATTTAAATTTAAGAATATCTATCGCTGCATGCATGGGGAGTGTACCAACAGCACTGTCGAGAGAGTGTTAGAGAGAGCGAGCGTGAGAGAGCTTTATTTATAGCAGTGGGGTTTTATTTAACGTCAGTGAATGGGACATTTAACAAGTGCATGCGAGCAAGAGCAAGAGAGTAGAAATGAGGGGGTTATTCGAATTGTGAGCGTAAAAAAAATTCCAATTTCATTTTGGCTTGAGATCGGGTTATGGGTCTGGTTCGGAGTCCGTACATTTTTCAGTTGTTTGCCCAATAGCGTTCGAAGCGGTCATAAAACGCGCACGAATTTTCGGTCTTCAAAGATATTTTCAAGTGCGTTGCTCACAGATACACAATAGCATAACGGATAAAGAAAAGCAAACAAAGAAGATCATTTTTTCTGCTTTTATTTCGCATTATAACATTCTTCTCAATTAAAGACCTTAATTAATTGCAAAGATGAGCAACCTACAGCATATTGCAGTCGAGATGGATAAGCTTCCCAGTAATAAAACACCAGCGAATAATCAAGTAAGTTTATCCGTGAAAACAATTGATTACATTAACATTTCAAACAAAACAAAAACAAAAAAATAGGAAACTCGCACGCTAACGTGGAAACGTATTAAACATTGTTTATACTACGACTAGACTAAAGTCTGTAGTATACTGAAATATCAATCAGATTTTAATGTACACACTGCTAGTAGTGTTGTGAATATGTATAATTGTGTATATATTAAGTAGATAATGCTAGATGATAATTACCAATGCACACATTGTTTTCAGAGCCTGCCAACTTTTGAAAAGTAATCACTTAACAGGTGAAAAACCCCACGTTAGTCACAGTCTGAAAATCAACTATGTCTTGTTGAATGTTCCAGTTTTATGCGTGATTTTTTCCCGTTTAGACTGCACACACATATATATATATATATATATAGAGATACATATAATTATAAATTTAAATGAGTTAATCACCAGAGATGAAGGAAGCTGCAGCGCATAATAATTGTGTTTTCATTTCTCCTACAAAGCTAGTGATATGAAAACTTATTTACTATGCAGCACAGCTTCCTTCATGTTTGTTTGCTGATTAGCAATTAAACAAACAGAACAACATCATACATATAGTATTTATTCCGTATATGTATTCATATACACTAGATTTAATTCAGTTCATTTATTTTTTTTGCCATTTTAGGGTAATCACAACGAGGCCTTGGGCGAGATCGATGGTCGTAAGTTGCGCACACCACGAGCAGGTTAGTAAACGTAATAATTTTATTGTGGAAAACTTTAAACGTGTTAATTTCATTAAATGGCTCTGCTTTGCTTAAATGTCTTCTTAAAATTTCGTATGCGCAATAAATATTTTCAACCATTCATCACATCAACAAACAATTGTGTAAGCAACTTTTCAATCTGTAATCATCATTTGTATCTAAAACCAAATTACTTTTCGGCAGTTCCCGAAATCGATGATGATGATAACGATGAACGACCTTATGCAAAAGGCTCCAATGCTGGCGTGGATGATGGTCTTTTAGGTAATGGAGGTGGTAATGTTGGGATGGATGTACCCCGTCCGAATGGTGGACGACGTCCTAGCTATGCGTTTCCCGGCTATAATGGTCCCGAATTCGTCAATATCAATGGCGTGGAGACGCCCATACCGGATGTAAATGCATATCAGCATAAGAAGACGCTGGCGCAGGGCATGATGGATCTGGCCCTGCTATCGGCGAATGCTAATCAGTTGCGCTATGTGTTAGAAACAGGCAGTGGGCATCCGTATTATTATCCCAGCCTCATTTTCATTTCGCTAAGCATTTTATTCCAGGTATGTAAATCATTTGCTTGCTGCCAAATTTGTGAACAGTGCAGAGATATATATAATTATATATATGTAAATATGTGACTCACTTACAGATTGCTGTCGGCATTGGACTTATATGGAACGGTCGGTTCAATATCAAGAACGAACAGGAGATTTGTCGTGCGAACAAAATTAATAATTACACAGTCATTGGCATTTTCATTGTAACGGTTGTCAATGTTTTAATATCAGCGTTTGGCGTTGCCGATCGCTCATCCGTCACCACAACATAGTGTACATTTTGTTAGTAGTTTCACCTTTGAATCTCTATAAACTATACTTTTAGGTACATATTCACAATTTCACCAAATTCACTTTTCTCATTTTTATTTTGTAATGCTGTTGTGATAAATAAATTAAAAGCCATCAACTTGCGTTTGAATTTTTGGTATGGGCGCGAAGAACATACCATACTATCGTAACTTATCGATAAGTCGAGGCAACAGCACTGTGATCGAAACCTTTCCGCTGACAGCATAACAGCCCTGTCTGGCTGAGCAAACTTCTGTAGCAGCACTGGATATTATTTTTGGGCAATCATTTGTCGTTGCTTTTAGCTGAATTATAGATTATAAATATAGAACAAAAAATCTATAAGCATTATGGCAAAGATATTAAAAGCGGTAAGTGTTTTTTAGGTTGAAGCAACTGGAGTGAATGCGGCCATTGTGTTTAAGTGTGTTTCAAGCAATTGTTATTGTTATGTCATCGGCAGCTTTAGCGATAGATTTTTTTAGCACTATTTTGATGTTTTTTTTGTTTTGTCTTATAGTCCACGGGTTTGACCGGCTTGGCGGTCGCCACCAATCCACATCACACATTGTCTGCGCTATATGGCAAAATATTAAGTGCCGTTTCCAAAATGCCGCAAGAGTCCAGCTATCGTAAAAACACCGAGCTGCTTGTAAAGCAACGCGCTGATGCTGTGGCAAAAGTAAGTCTTTCAACAAGGTTAACTGTTGATCAAGAGTATAAATTTATGCATCTCTTGCAGAATAAGGATATTGGTGTGCTAGAGAAGTCTATCGGTTGTGGTCAAGTAGAGGAGCTAATTGTGCAGGCGGAAAATGAATTGACACTGGCACGCAAAATGCTCGGCTGGAAGCCGTGGGAGAAATTGGTACAGGCAGCGCCAGCGAAGCAATGGGATTGGCCACCAGCGCAAATCCTTGAGCCAAAGGTGTAATTTATCTAGTGTTGTTATTGTATCATCCTATTTGTTGACAGCAAATAAATTCTGAGGCCGATTGTCAAAAATGTATTTTTACAAATACATTTACTAGTTTTCGGGCTCTGAGATCACCCCATAATCTTTGAATGTAGAACGATAGAAAGTGTTCTTATATTATTGTTTGTAACGCATCGTGTCCTTTGAAAATCTGCAAGGATATCAACACCCCAAAAGTATGCTTTCATATTTTGGATTTTTTCTAATCTATGTCGCATTATTGATTTTCTTGTTCACCCTAAAAGTATGCTTTGAAATATTGAATCAATAATAGGGACAAAAAATGTTAGTTTATTTTTCTTATTATCATCATTACTATCATTACAACTAGCTATAATATATGTATGTATGTGTAAGTTTAAAATTATAGCATATATAAGCGAGTATTTTGAAATTCAATTTAATTTTAAGTTAAAAAATACAATTTAAAAAATTATAAATTTAAATGATATATATAATATAATATGATAAATAAAATGACTGTAAAAATAAAATTCATTTTCCAGGAGTCTTTCGACAACTTCCCGGAGCCCCCCTCGCACTGAAAATCTGCACATGCCCATGTCCATTTGTTATTTGCCGAGGCTCGCATCGCTTGATAAGCAGCCTCGTCAGCATCATCAATCTCAGTAATTTCAGCAGTATATATTCATAATGCGATCGGTAAACATCATATTGCTGTTTGTGCTAATCTTGAGCGTTGTTGCTGCTATGCCCATTGGGACAAGGCAACGGCGACAGATTGATTTGACTGTATCAGCGGAACACGATGACAAGGACGATGAAACGGAGCTGGCACTGGAGGCCATAGCTGGACTGTGGAGTAGCGCCGATAGTCGGACGAAAATCGATGGATCCGCTAGAGTTGTGCATCGCACCAGTGGAATGCAAACGGGTAACACAAGCTACCAGGCGCGCGTCCATCTGCGTCATGAATATAAGACCAATCCGTATCAAACTTAATAATCCCACACACACACACACAAAACCAAGGTTCCGAGCAGGACTGGCGGCTGGGCGTGCGTGTCGTATTCAGTTAAGGACGCTGGCAGGCGGAGACACAGAGAGAGAGAGCGTGGGGGAACGGAAAACCCCCACTCAATTATACATTTCACAATTGCGTGCACTGATGTCAAGGAATACCGCTAATGATAATTGATAACATTTTGACCTTAGCTTTTGATTAATAAACAAACATTTAAGTAAATTGCAAAAGACGTTACTGTTACTGTTTGTCTTTAATTGCTAAACGCACCAGGGACACAAACTTTCTGCTTAAAATTACAACAACTTGATAGAGACGCATACAATAAATATGAGATACATACATATTATTACATATATAAATATATATATATATATATACATATATATCAATGTAGATAATGCATATAAGTCGAAATGCCATTAAGTTCATAATTGTGGGATTGCACATTAATTAAAATAGATGCCGAGTGCCTGCTGCTTTTTCAGCTCGTCGACGACAAAGTTGCGGAACTCCTCGTAGGCCACATCGATGTCCTCATTGTGAACGATCTTGTGAAAATTGCCCGGCATCAGACCATAATCAATTTCCATTTTGGCAGCATTGAGACGCTTACGGAGCGATTCCTCCGTTTCGGTGCCTCGCTTGCGTAGACGCTGTTCGAGCTCCTCGATGCTGGGTGGATTGTTGTATATCAATATGGGATTGAGATCGGTTCGCCGTATCTGTTCGACGCCCTTCTGCTCAATGTCCAGAATGCAGACACGTCCCTTGCTCTGAATATCGCGCACTGCCTCCTTGCTGGTGCCGTACATATTGCCCGAAAACTCGGCCGTCTCGATGAACTCATCATTGGCAATGGCCAGCTCCATGTCCGGTCTGCTCACAAAATAATAGTGGATGCCATGCTCTTCGCCATCACGCGGACGGCGCGTGGTGTGCGAGACGCTGAATCCAAACATTTCCGGAAATTCAGCAAATAGACGTTTTAGCAACGTGCTTTTGCCGGAGCCCGAGGGGCCACACAGCACAAGTGGTCGTGGACCAGTGGCTTGCATTATTGTTCTGCTGCTGCTGCCGTTGCCGATGCTGCTGCCGGCGCTGAATGCACGATTGACAATGAACAGAAAGCTCAGCATGTTTGTGGCCGAAAGCTAGCTTGTTGTTTTGGCTAAATTAACCCGTAGATGGACTCTAGTTTGGCTCTAGATTAGAGATGGGCGCGTGTGCGTGTGTCACAGCTGTGTGCATTGTATCGTTGCATTGTGGCGGTGCTGTCGATAACACGTCTATCGCAGCAGTCTGCGCGCGCTCGCTGTTATCAAGTTTAAAATGAAAAACACGCACATGTATTTGGTTTAAAAACGCTTTATATGCATATTCTTATACTGTTTTAATTTTGTTTTTGTTTTTTAATATATATATTTAGCATAGAATTTCAAACACATACACACTGAAACTAACGCTGCTTTGACGGCTGCTCGCTGTTGTTTGTTTTTTTATGTTGGTTGTTTTTTGTATATCGTTATCGGCTTATTATTTGAATTTGAATTCGAATTACAATGCATTTTAAACTTAGTTTGCTAAAAATTATTATGAATTTCACTTTTCTTGTTTACGTTTTTATTTTATTTTTATTTTAATAGATTTTGATCACAATTTGATTTCGCATATGCCCAAAATTAATTTGGTTTGTGTTCCGAATGATTCGCCTGAATGTAACGTTCTACTCGTTCTACTCCTCCTCTTTTTCTCTTTCTTTGTCATCTTCTATTCCCGTTCCATACAAGTATATTAAGCCTATCTGCCGAAAAAGTGACTAATTTTCGAATTATATCAATTATAAGTACGTATTTCATGCAAGCTGCTGCATTTGCTTTTTTTTCTTTTCTTTTTTTTTTTTTTGCTTGAGATACTACAAAATATGCTAATTTTTCAGTCATTATTACGTGCTGCTGCTGCTTCTTCTTCTCCTCCTTCGACACTCTTCAACTTGCTGGCAAGGCAACGGAGTGGATAAAGGATGCACGATGCGCTTCGGCTAACCTTTTTTTCTTGCTTTATGCATTTGTATTTGTGTGTACGTGGTATGTGTGTATGGGTGTGTATAGTATTTGTATATATATAGATATACATATATATATATGTATTTGTTTATGTACAATATTATAAGTTAAGCTGAGTTTGAGTTTTCAATATTCGATGCATGACAATAATATGCATAAATGGGGGGAGTGATTCTGTATTTGGTTTATTAACGAGTAAAGATCAACTAAATAACAGTACTATCGTCTCGCCCAATTGGGAGCTGTAAATTGAGTCTAATGGATCAATGAAGACTATATATATATATATATATATATATATATATATTTGTGTATGTGTGTGTGTGTGTGTGTTAAATTGATTAAATATTAAAATGGATTAATAGCTTGGCAAAATTAAAAGTATTGTGCAAGTGTTGCTGCAATTTATTAGAGCCCTAAAAATTTGTATACAACTAAAACTATTCGTATGTTTAAAATTGATTACAAAATATTTGTATATATGTATTTGTGTGTGTGTGTTTAAGTGTGTGTCTGTGTGTAAACTATGCTTGTACATCCCCAAAGAACTGAGTTTCAGGGGAGGCAGGGGGTTGGTTATTGGGTTGGGTTGGTTCGGGTTGGAGAATGAATTGGCTGGCCCTTAAAAATGGGTCTCCTTAGTCTCCTCCTTAATGACTACAATCATTATTATTCATATTATATATTCATGTATTCATGTATTATATTCAATTACTATAGGAGCTTAAAAATTTGCAATTCTTTATGGGGATTCATATTTGTTTTTTTTTTTTTTTTTGTTTTTCTTTTTTTTTGCGAATTTGTATTGCTAATTGTAATTAATTGTTGGTTTGAAATGAGAAACACGACAAGTATTAACAAAAGAAACTACTGACAACAATTTTACGTTTACGATGCATTTGTTGTTGCTATTTTCTTTGTGTGTGGGTGTGGGTCTGTATAATTATGTATAATTAATTATGTAATAATTATTGTTTACAAATAGAATAATCATTTTACGTGTACATTATGTTTGTTTGCTTGCGTAAATTATAAAATTACCTAATCAAGAAAATTATAAAGTTAGTTAGTTGTTGTTGCAGCTGCTGCTGCTGCTGTTGTTGTTTTATTTTGTAATGCTTCTTAGGCCTTCCAGTTGTTCTGGCGACTGCCGCTGGGTCCGCTTGGCTGCTGTGGCGGTATCATTTCGAGCAGATATTGTCGCTGCAGTTCCGCCGCCCGCTGAATGTCCGCCAAGCTGGTCGCATTGCTCGAGTTCTTCGACGAACTCGATGCGGAGCTGCTCTTCTTGTTGTTATTGTTAAATGCTAAACAATGAAAATGGAGATATAATTTACTAGAGACTAGAGAATACCCTGTATTCGTCGTGGCTCACCTGCTACTTGGGCCGCCTGCGCCATGGCCATTTGGTAGGTGTAGAGCAACGGCGCAAATTGCATCATGTGCTGCGGATTGCCGCCCAGACCCTGACCAAGTGCTGCAAAAGCATAAAGTTCGCATTAGCATGTAAGGCCACAGAGTGCTACCCAACACTGTTGCTTACCCCTGAACAGCTGCTGCTGGAAGGCCTGCATCGCGGCTGCTGGCGACGCATTGCCCAGCGCCGCAGCTGGATTATTTGCTGGCGTTGTGGCGCCACCAAAATTACCCAACGCACCGAGACCCGCCAGATTGCCCAGCTGATTGAGATTACCCAGACTGGCGATATTATTTAAATTCAAACCACCCATGCCGCCCAAAGCGCTGAGATGCGCTGCCGCTGCCAGCGTTGCCGCCGAATACTTGTCATAACTTTGAGCCTGCTGCTGCTGCTGCTGTTGCTGCTGTTGTTGTTGCTGCTCGCGCTGTTGGTCCCGTTGCTGCTGCTGCTGCTGTTGTTGTTGCTGCTGCTGCTGTTGTTGCTGCTGCTGCTGTTGCTGATGGTGGTGGTGATCGCGTTCGGCGCGTGAAGAGCGCGCCGTTGCCGTTGTCGATTCGTGATGATGCGCTGCAACTGGTCCCGGGCCCGGGCTGAGTATGCCCGCCTGTTGGGCGGCAATCGCAGCCGCTGCCGCTGTTGCAGCGGCACGCGACGAACGCTGTTGGCTCGCTGCTGGCGGTGGTGTTGGCTGTTGACTCTGCTGCTGCTGTTGCTGCTGTTGCTGCTGCGCTGCTGACGACGACGACGAGGACTGCGATGGCGGCGGCGTTGGCCGTGGCGCTGGCGTCGGTGTGTGGCATTTGGTGGGTATAACCGTAACTGAGGGCGGCAAATTGACCAAAGCGGCAGCAGCTGATGCATGCGATGCCTGCAACTGTTCGCGCTGCTCGCGTTCCCGTTCCCGCTGCAACGCCTGCTGATGCTGATGCGAAGCAGCAACGCTGGCAGCACTGCTGGCGGCGGCGGCAACAGCAGCAGCATTGTTCGCACTGTGCGCCTCGATAACGACGGGCGAGGGACTGCTCTGGCTGGCCAAACGCTGCTCGATCTCCTGCTCCTGCTGCAGCGCCTTGACGAACGCCTGCTTCAGTCGATTCGTGTGCTCCGCCTTCAAAGCCTTCTTCACATTCGATGTGACGCACTGCTCGCAAATGACCTTCGCATCCTTGTTCGCTATGTAACCAATTAAATATGCATTAATTTATATTAAGTTTGTAGATTTATATATATATACATATATATATATATATAAATAGGTGTGAAGACAATAACTTTTAGACAGTGAAATAGATGCGAGCAGTTGAATAAACTGAAGAAAACTTGAATTTCTCTTTGATTCTGTTTGATTTAAATATAGTCATTGTAGCAAAAGGCTTAACTAAGTTACTAAATAATATTAAATGGGAGAGAGCATAGAGAGTAAACTCTAAGATGAAGTGGAACTTAGTTGAATTAACAATTGCATGGCTATATCAATTAGACAGTGTCTCAGAAGTTATTTTCAAATGCATTGCCTTGGTTCATTAGGACTGATATGGATCACAAAATGAAAAAAAAAACAATGCTTGTCAAGTCTTCACAGCTATTTTACCGTCCAGATGTATATCCAGGTATATTTATATATATATATATAGATGGGCGAGTTGTGCTTACTCTGCTTCTCCCACTTCCAGACGGGCGTAAAGTCAATCTTGCACTGGGCACAGCGGAAGGGTGCCGCAACCGCATTCGCCTTCTTGTTAACAGTTAGATAGTCGACAACCGTTTCCAGTCCGAGCAGATAGACAAAATCCGTATTGCTCGGATTCGGTATGAAATGCATCTCTGGCGGTGGCGGCTTTGGTGGCGGTATCTGACAAAAGAAAATCATTTATGATTATAATGATAACAAGTGGATTTTGTTTTGCATTTATTTATTACTCACCTGTAGCAAAGTCTTTTCCAGCTGCTTGCGCAGCGCCATTTTGGCTGCCGCCTGACGCTGGGCGGGCGTTTGCGAATCTTCGCGTGGCGCGCCGCGTTCATTCTGCAAAATGTTTTAGATTTAACAATCAGTTAACAGTCATTTAACAGTCAGCTAACAGTCACCATTTTTGAACTCACCTTCATGTCGTTGAGCTGATTTTGGTGCGTTTGTTGCAGTGGCGGCGCCGGCGTTATGGATACGGAATTGCTAATGGTCCCAGGTACCTTCGAATTATCCGAAATATTAGGCTGCATGTTTTTTTTATATATATATATTTATATATTTATATTTATATGATGTTTGTGATTTATTTTTTAATTTTTTTTTTGAGTAATGAAATTTTGTTTAGCGTAAGAATGTAAAACAGAAATTAGTGTTGCAAATATGCTATGAATAAATTGAATGTATATATATATAAATATTTATATATACATATATATCGATATATTTATATTTTTTCCAAAACGAAATTTCACTGTAAATTACTGTAAATTGGCTGCTCGACTATTTTGGAGCAGAGGCAGCTTTTGACAGGTGTGTGTGTGTGTTTAGTGTTGTGAAACGTTGTGTGATGCGTATGATTGAACTCAATTTCAATAGTTCGATAATGCGCATACAACTGTTTTGAAAAGTAGTGTTAGTGTTGGTAAGCGTGAGTTTTGTGCATAATTTTGAATAGTGAGTGTCACATGAGCGTTTGCATCTGACACTGGTAACTGTTTTGCATTGAACAATTGAATTTAATACAGAAATTAGCAAAGGCTGCATCCGTGATAAGTAACAGTTACTTGCGCATATGTTGTGAACGCTACTCGTGGCAAATATGTTGACAACAAATCAACACACAAATTCCAGATTCCTTTAAAGTCTTGCTTTGTCTCTGTGTGTGTGTGTGTATTTTGTGTTTGCCTGTGTGTGTGTGCGCAAATTGTGCAATTGTGGATTTCATTAATGATGATGAATACATATATTATATATACATATACATATAGAGAGAGAAGTGGGAAAAACTCGGCGCTTACGGCAACGATGACATTACAATAACTCACATTGCGTGCTTTCAGGCTGGATGGCGGCGCCGACGTCGGCGTTATGGTCACCGACGGTGTTATGGTGAGATTCGGCAGATTTGTGCGTGGGGGCAGCACACTCGACCGATGCGAACTGTTCGTCGCTGGGGTAATCGTTGTGCCCGAGGCGAGTGTGGCGCCTGCTGCCAGCGACGATCTCGGTGGCGGCAGCAGCGAGTTGCTGCCCAACGAGTTGCTGACCAACGAGTTGCTGCTGCCGCGATGCGAAACCGAGCTCAAAGCAGCCACAGCGGCTGCCGTCGCTGCTGACGAACTAATGCTGCGACTATTGCTGGCGCTGTGCGAAGCAGACGAAAGAAGAGAGCGAAAAGAGAGAGAGAGAGAGTGAAAGGTGAGTGATGCATTCAATAATCCATAATCGATTACAAAGTTATCGTTAATCGTTGCGTTGCATTGCGTTGCTCACCTTATGCTAACGGCAGCCGCACTGCCACCCAAACTGCCACGCCCCCCCTTGCTGTGGGCGGGCAACGGCAACGCTGACGTCGGCGTCACACTCAACGATCCCTTCGCTGTTAGGGAGCTGGGTATGGCCGCCAACGGATTATTGGGCGAGACACTGGTGGGCGTCACGACCAGATTCTCTTTCATCACCTGCTGCGACTGTTTCAGTTTCTTGAGCAGCATCAGTTTGGTTTCCTCGTTACGCAAGTCCTGTCGCAGCTTGCGCAAACTCTTCTCGCGCTCCTTGAGCTCGGCATGCGTCAGCTCCTTGATGGGCACATACGGCGGCATCTCCTCATCATCCGTTTCCGAATCAATGTTGCCATTCTGTTGCCGACCATTTGTTCGTGCCGGCAGCAAAACAATGTCGGGTGCCTCTGCATAGGATTTGGGTTCGGTTCGTGGTCGCAACACACGACGTTGTACTTTATTCTCATCCTGATTGAGTGTGACACTGCCACTGCCAGTGATGTTGCCACTGTTGCCACTGGCACTGCCACTCCCACTGCCTGCCACAGCAGCATCCGTTAACGTGACGTCATTACTATTATGATTATTTGTGCTATTGTTGTTATTGTTGTTGTTGCTGCTGTTACTGTTGTTGTTGCTGCTGCTACTACTATTGTTGTTGTTGTTATTGTTGGTGGCATCATTGGCAGAGTCTGAGGCAGCAGCTGTGTTTGCTGTTGTTGTTGGTCCTGGCGCTGGCGTTATAGTCAGCCCCGTGTTGTTTGCGGTTAAAGCGCGCAGATCCCGATTGCTGATTGTCGGCGTCGTCGTTGGCGTCGACGCTGGCGTTATGGTTAGCGCCGGATCACGGCCAGAACTCAGACTCAAGTCGACGACATCGTCGACCTCCATTTTGGCCATTTTCGCGCGTCGCGTCGTCGTGATGTCGTATCTTGACCTAACTGCAAAGAAAGAAGAACAAATTGTTCAATCAGTTGAATTTATTGGATTACAATTCTGCATCTACGAATGATATATACAGCTGCGCTCAGAATAATATAATGCACACACAATTTCTTTATATAATATTACGGATATTCGATTTACTAATATACTACTACTCTAGTAAATGTAATATTTATAGATTAGAGTTCCGTATAGTACAGTGTATATTCCACATAGTGTATACTATTTGATCGATTCAATTTTACGCTTATTGTTAGAAAATTTGGCATTTCCTTCAAGCCACAATATATAAAACTAACTGAAAATAACTTTGTGTTCTTTTGTGGAAATATTGCCAACACTGTGACTCTACTAAATTTTATGAAAAATAAATAGATTTCATACATTCAACTCTTCTGCACATATTCTTTTGAATTGCTTTCGCCATCACGAGTGTCTACTGTATTTAAGAGTGGGCCGAGTGCTTTGCATCCTCTTTTCTAAGGGTTGCTTTACCGTTGGCTGCTTTACTTTTCTTCTTTTTTCCTTTTTTTCTACTTTTTTTGCCAGCGGAAATCAGAGTCTAACCCTTAATGGCTTAACAGTGGTTGTTGTTGTTGTTGTTGCTGTTTTCAGTATCTCACCGTTTGGAGTGTTTTGCTGCTGCCTTTTTTTTTATTTATTAAAGGAAATAATAAAGATATCCTGATTTCAATTCATTTTGGCGACGACCTTGTTGAATCAAACTGATAGCCTCGAGACGATGACGACGACGACTGACGACTGACTTTGGCTTCTTCTGGCTGGCGGCGACAAAAGGAAAGCTGCTAGCACTAAATCACAAGCGAGATTTGATCGCAGATACACACACACACATATATATATATATATACATGTCTGTGTGTGTGTGTGCTTGTGTATGCGACAGGCGCCACAGCAGCAGCAGCATTCGCATTGGGGATTGAAACTGTGGCAGTTCCACAAGCTGCTTCCACAAGCAAGTCACGTTTTCGTTTTATCAAATTTTCGCATACAAAGCGAGAAAATTTACATGAAAACAAAGTGGACAAGAGTGGACAGGTGAGAGAGGGGAATAGGAGGGGTGGGGAGTAAAGAGAGAGGGAGAACACGAGAGTAAATGCAAATCGGTAAATGTTTAGTGGCAGCAGCGCAGAACTAGAAAAACTTTAAGCACACACACACATACACACATGCCCATGTACAAGCCTCACAAGACACGTGAGCGCCAAAAGGTGAATAAACTTTGCAAACAAATGCATACAAATATAAAATGTATGAAATGTGAATGAATGAATGAATGTATTTAAACATAGATATAATTGCAGCGACAACAACAACAACAACAATAATATAAAGATACACCTGCCCGGCTTCTCCAATAAAAAGCAAAAACCTCACACAACAATAAACAGTCCACTTAAACTGATATATATGCAATAACACACACACACACACATAATAAGCGACAGCTTCAGCTTTGGCAACGGGGTGGCAACGCTTTTAGCTCGGCTTAGACGACCTCAAGTGGAGGAAGAAGAAAGAAGTACAAACATAACATAATCATGAGAACACGAGCAAAAAAAAAAAAGAAAATAACTACAAGTTCTATGCATGTATGTGTGTCTGTTATTGTTTGGCCAACAGCGTCCCCAACGTGCTATAAATTAACTCGCTTTGAAAGTTGGCAGCCGCACACAAATAAACACACACAGACACTCAAACACACACTCACACATACAGACATACAGACACACACACTCGCATTATGTGCATCATACTTTGGCTCACTCGTTCGTTTTTTTCCCCAAAGCAGCTGTCGGCAATGTCTCGTTACTTTCCACACTTGTGTCGTCATCAGCAGATTGCTGCTTAAGAGCGAACTGCCGCGGCTGCACAGTGGAGCAAAGCTCAATGGCGAATGCAACAGGCACTTATACGATTAAATTGCTATCAAGGTGCCCATAAATATATTAAATTATAAAAACCGTGACCGTCATTTTTAAAAATATTAAATTTAAATATTAATATATATTTCATTTAGAAAGTATTATATTTATATATAAACAACAAACTGAAATGTTGGAATTTGTTGGCGACTACTGTACATATTTATATTTTGTTTACTTTTCTCTAAATGAATTGAATTTATAATATTCAATTAGTGGTTTTCGTACCCCGTTCCACTGTGCACCGCCTGGTGAGCGTGAGAATAACAGGGCATACGTATGTACACATATGTGTTTGTGTGAGCGTGCGTGCCAGTGTGTGTGTCCGTGTGTTTTGTTTTTTAATGAATGTTGCCCGCATTTTGTTTCTTTTTTAAAGGCAAATCCAAACATTTTAACTTTTTTATAGGCATTTTAAATAATGTTTGTATAAATACAATTCCGGCACATTTTTTACATGCCTGCCTGACACTTTCCGCACACTCGCCGCTGCCACAACTTCCCCCTCTTCCCCCCCCCCCCCTCACCTATGGCTGGCATATAAAAAAATGCTATCGATTTGTTGGCGTTGGCGTTTGTCGTAGCTGTTGTCGTCACTGGTTTTTATTTATTTTTTTTTTTGCTTTTTGTTGGCATTCAGTATGGTTATAATTGTGTTTAATAGCGCGCTAAATGTGTTTCAATTAGCGCTTAAAGCTAAACTGTGTCTATGTGTGTGCTTGTATGTCAATAGGGCTGCATATATTTGCATATGTACATATATATACATGTACATAAATATGTCTGTAATAATGTCAGTCAAGTTCAAGTTTAGTGGCAACACCGGTCGTTGGCACCTGCCTAAAGAGCGCGCAGAGGCAGGCAGGCGAATGTCATCGAGAGGCGAAGAACATTAGAAAATGAGAAGAGGAAGTGAAGAAGAGCAGAGGAGAGTAGACAGTTACAGTTAAAAATTACCGCCAATAGTTTGCTTACCCTTGACAAAGTCCAACTGCTATTAGAGTCATCTCTGGCGATAATAACAACAATAATATCGCAAGCTGCGAGCAGCAGCAACAACGCAAAAAACATTTTTAAAAAAACAGCAAAAGAAATAAGGTTAAATCAAAAGTACAGTTGTGTACATAGCGCAGCGAGCAGCAGCAGCACCAACAACAACAACACAAACAAAAGCGAAGAGCAACCAACAAGCAAAATGTGTTTGAGTGCGGCTGCGGTGAGAAGCAGCAGCAGAAGCAGAAGCAGCAGCCGACGACGTAGAGAGAGAGAGCAAGACAGAAGAGAGAGCGCGCGTCGCACACACACGCGAGACAAGGCGAGCCAAAGCAAGCAAAACTGAGAGAGAGGGAGAAAAAGAGAGCGAGGGAGAGTGGCGGGCAGACGGCGGCAGTTGGCGACCGAATTGGGAGTAGAGTATGGTGTCTGTTGTATTGTGGGGGAGGTGGAGGGGGGCAGTCAGGCAAACTGAAAACTGTCTGGCCACCCCATGCACACACACACACACATACTTATACTTACACACCCATAGAACACCTTCTTAACTACAACAATCCTATCGATTTGCATATTAGTCAACTCAAGTGACCCCACCACACCCCTCGCTCACACCTAGCCTTGTGGCTGATAATCCCGTTAACTCCAAGAGCAAGAAAAGCTCAACTTTGCTGCAATTGCCTTTAATCTGTGCGATATGCGCAAAATAATTCAATTCATTTCAATAAAATAACAAAAAAGCAAAAAAAAATGATTATCAAAACAAGTCGCAGCTTTGCACACACAGAGAGAAATAAACAAACATAAGTAAATATATACATACATATGTACATATATACATACATACACATGTACATGCTTGTATAAGAAATGCGCATATCTTATGGCCTGCCATTGTATGTAGTACATAAGCAACGGCAAAAACGAACGGGGATCGGAAGTGGGGAGGGAGAGTTGCTGTTACTGTTGTTGTTTCTGCTGTCACTAAGAGAGAGCGCGCGTGCGAGCGAGAGAGCAACCGATTTGTACATAGGCCATCGTACATATGTATTAACTCACCATCATCATCATCATCGTCCCCGTCCCCATAATGGTGGGTTGGTGATGGGCTGCTGCAAAATGCACTGGCGCATAAATCTAAGCTGCGCCTTGCGAAATGTTCAAATTTATTAGTGACATCAACACAGGCTACGGCTCTGGCTCTGGCCACTACTAGCAGCTGCTTTACAGCGAGACAACATTTGAGCGCAGTGGCAATTCCACTCCTTGACTAATTTACAAAACAAGAATTAACAGTCATAATTGACACAAGCTCATTTACATATGTATGTATGTATGTTGTACACATATGGGTCGTAAAAATGTTAAGTCATTATAAGCTTTTAAATACAGCAACTTTTATCTACATGCCTAGGTATGTATGTATGTATGTATGTCTATGTAAATATATCAAGATGTGTGAGCTAATACAAATCTCAGAAAATATAAATTACTATATATATGCATGTGTCTATTTATGTGTGTATGTAATTATGTCGCTTTGTTTATTAATAGCACCGATAAGGATAAGCTTTGGGAAATTGCAACAACACTGAGAAGTAATGCAACAACAAACAAAAAACTGCTATGCATAAATATATCTGTAGGTATATAAATAAATTTGTAGAAAATGGGTTACGTACAACAACTAAAACAACTACAACAACGACGACAACTTAACACACAAATTAATTGCGCGCACTACAAACGAAAAATCGTCGCGTCGCTGCCGCTGCCGCTGCCAACGTCGCTGTCGCTGCTTGTAGTCGTTGGCCTTTGCTAGCGGCGCGTCGCTGCGACAGCGCTGCAACGCCAACTATAACAGTGTGTACATATACACATATGCACAAACTGACGTGTTTGCTATTGTTGTTGTTGTTATATGTGCGGATTTGCTGCTTATCGCTGCTGGACATATTTGCACTGTCTTTTTATGGCAAGCGCGCTGAGTAATTGCCAAGTGGCTTTTGTGAGGGACAGGTGGAGGGGGAGGGGAGCCATGAAGTGATTGCCGGGGTTAAGTTGAAAGACATACTGAAACTAGGTCTGGGCCTAGCCACATTAAAGCCTTTGCTTTTTTGCATTGATACCCTGTTAATATACATAAATTAAATAAAAAATAAAGCAAACAGTTATGTTAGACGCTGCCAGACTGTTTACAGTTGTACACACATACATACACTCACACATGCATACATACATATGAAAAGTTTGAATAAAAATAGCTGTAATTTGACACATCATTCCTATGACGGCCGAATTTCACAATTTTACAATGACAATTTCCATATTTGCTTAATATACACACACACTTGCATTGGCAAAATCGCAGTTGAGGTGCTTGTAAAGCTCTTTTCTCGTTGTCTTTTACCAGTTGCTCTTCTTCTTGCTGTTATTATATTATTGCTGTTGTTGTTATTGTTGTATATAAGCCAGCGACGTATATACATATGTACACACATACATGCATACAAACTCACACTCAGCGCTGCGCTCTCACTCATACACACACAAACTCACGCACACATGCACAGGCGACATGGGTTCGACTTTTGTACATAAAATGAGTGCGCGGCGCTGCGCTGCGCTCGTCTCGTTGCTTTTGTCTATCCAACCGTGCTTCTTGCCGTGTGTGTGTTTGTATATATATATATACATATATGTATTGCTGCCTGCCTGCCAGTCTCCTTCACTAGCAACAACAAAAGCAACAGCAAGATTCAGCGAAAAAGTAAAGACATAAAAACGCAATAGCAAACATATAATTCGAAAGGCATTAATAAATAGATTATTGCAAATACATACATACAAATACATATATACATATACACATACATAGATATGCAATTGCATTTGCCTAAAGTTTTTCTTGGTAGGCTGAGCAAAACTTTCCTTAACCGTTTCTGTTTTTTTTTTTCGGTCTCGCTGCATTTCCAATAAAATTTTGTTGTGTGGAAAAATTCCACTTAATCAAGCAAATTACCAACGCGTCGCAGTCGCCGCTATACTTTGACTATTTTTAGGCTTTGCGCTTTACCTTTCATTTTTTTGCTTTTAATGTTGGCAAAACATCAAAACAAAAAAAAAACAAATTGAATGCTACATGAAAATGAGAACTGCTCTGGCACGCCTGCTGCGACCCCGCTGCGCTGACCACTCCACTAAGAATAACCCCAAAAAGTAACACGTAAAAGGTAAGCAGCGACGCGAGCAGCGCTGTCAGCGTTGACGTCAAGCCCAACAAAAAAAAAACGCAAAGGAATAACAAAACCAGTTAGCCAATACTCACACACACACACAGCCATATGTATATAATATACACACCGATGCAGAGACACACACACATTTAATATTCATTATAAATGCGACACGGTAAGTGCCAAAAACGTAAGAAAATATCATCAAATACACATTCATTCAATTCTAAGTGGAGATTTCAATTTCATTTGTAATTATAATGTGAACATCGCAATGACTATTCACAATTATTTATTTGATGTACACAAACTTGAGATAGTTTAATATTGCACAATTGACCAAATTGAAATGTAGATTTTCATTGCATTTGATTATTTATTTTTCCAATATAATAGTATACAATTTTAGAGACACACTTGTCATCATTTATGTCATTTTTAACCTTGAACTAAAGCAATCCAACTCACACCCGAACATACAAATTCAGTGTGTACATATTTATTATGTATGTATGTGAAGCACCTGTAATGATAGCTTTGCACGCGTTTTTTCACTGCTAACTGCATGTTCACAACACTGGTTAAGCGTTTGGCTGCTTGACTTATATACATACATATATACATTATATATATACATATGCATAGCATATAAAAATAAATGACACCGAAAAGAGAAAACATTTTTTCTAGCGCTTTTGCTGCTGCTGCTGCTGATAAGCGACGAAAGGCAGCACTTACAAACAAGTATGTACATACACACATGCACACACACATATATACGTGCATGTACATAAGTATACATGTGTATGTATGCAATTGTTCACACAGCTGCTTTATAAGGCCACCGCTGCTGCTGCTGATGATGGGCTCCCATATGATTCACAGAAGATTTACGATTGTTTATTAGTACACTTTAATGTTTGTATGTATGTATTTGGCTTGAATTAAAAGACTTAGTGTTGGGCAATGCCAACAAACTAATTTAATAGCTAACGTTACACACACAGACACACATACATACATGTACATAAATTGACAGACTGCAACGCTTTCTACTGCTGCCGATCGAAAAGAAAGAAAGAAATGATAGCAAGAAGAAGAAAATACAACTACATGCTACTTTATTGTATGGTCTTTTTTTTTGTTCTTGTTTTTTTATGCGCTGTTCTTATTTTGCACTTAATGACGTGTAACCAACGCGCGCGTGTGTTTACATTTGTGTGCGTTTCTATGTGAGCATATATATATATATATATGTATGTGTGTATATCCGTTCATACGTTGGTATGTGAGTTTGCTGTGTGCAAGAGCGAGATGCCACACGAAGTAAACAGGTAAAAAAAAGGCAAGCCGAAAAAAGAAAACAACAAAAAGTAGCTTTGCCACTTTTTTTTTCTTTTTCATTTTGCTCTTTGCTGCTTTTGTTTTGCGTGAAATTGTCAGAAGAGGTGGAAGAAGATGAAGATCGGTTATTGAGTAAATTGACATTGCAGGCAGGCAGGCAGCCAGTTGTTGTTGTTGTGAATGATAATCATAATTATCCAACGTCAGTTGACGACCATGAAAACTTACTCAAAAAATAAGTAAAGAAAGATCAATGCAAAATAATAAATGCAAATTGCAGCGTTTGCTTAATTTGCAACTTTTTGCTTATACATATATACTGAAAATATCTATATATATGTTTGTTTATATAAAAAAGGCCACACACTCACTATTTGGCTTCCTGAGCATTCTTTGCCTGGCGAACGAACCGCGACGCAATTACATAAGCACGAACAATGCTTAAATACACACACAGACACACAATTACATAGATTAAATATATATGTATTTGTACATATATAGATGAGGAGGATGACAGAAACAAGGAAGTAACAAGCACAACAGCAACAACAACAAATGCAATGCCACTTGAAACTTGTCTACGGCTAAATAAATGTAAAGTGGCAACACTATCTCTGTCTTCTTTGCGCGGTGTGGCTACCCGCAACACAAGGGTAAAAGGGTTCAGGCGGTTTGTCGGCGAGTTGAACGGTTTATAAAAAAAAGTAAAATCAAATAAGAAAAAAAAAACTTTAAAAAATTTCAACGTGCCAACAGCAGCAGCAGCAACAGCATCTAAAACAACAACAACAGCAGCGCGACTCATTTAAACGGTCAATTGCCTCAAGCAAAAAAGGCAAACATACGAATAGAAGAGAGTGAGCGAGAGAGAGAGTGAGCGAAAGCGAGAGCGAGCGAGGCAGCGAGAATACAACGAAACACAAAACGAAAAAGAAACTAAATGAAATTGAGTAGCGATTGTTGTTATTGTTGTTGACTTTGACTAGGCTGCAGCAGCAAAGATGTTAAAAATGTGTTGGAATACAAAATTTAATATCTCGCTTCAAAATGAGAGCAGCACACGCATAAAAATATATATAAACACAACACACACACACACAAATACACATGCCATGCATATGTAAGAAAAAAATAATTATTGAATTGAGTATAAAACGGGCAATCAAAAAAAACTTTTGCACAGACACACAACCAAAAAAAAAAAGCGAAAAACGTGCATAAATTAGCCGAAGTAAAAGAGAGAGCGAGAGCGAGCGCGAGCAGTGACCAAAAGAATAAGTGCCATGAGTGAGAGAGTGCGAGCAGCAAAGGCATAGATATGTATGTATAAATTTAAATGTTTGTATGTGTGCGTGTGTGTGTGCTCGCAAGGGCAATTATAATGTACACTACACATAAACAATAATAAATTAAATAGGCACCAAAATAATAATAATAACAGACAAATGACAAATGCAACGTGTATGTGTGAATAAACAATGGAAAAGAGCAGTCAGCCAAAGTGGCAACGCCATAAGCTAGTTGTTGTTTCTTTTTTCTTTCTTTTTTTTTGTTGACAGCTACAGCTGTGTAGCTATATGTTTGTGTGTGTGTGTGTGGGGGGGGGGGGGGGAAATTCACCTCTCACTCTCGGCCTGCACTCACCACACAACAACAACAACGTCAACCACCAAAAAAAGCTTCGACAAGTAAAGTGAAGGCAGCCAAAAACTTTTCTTACAAGTTGCTATATGTATATAATGTACTTATTTCTATATACATTTGTATATATGCGTGTGTGTATGTGTGCTGCTTATGTACCTACTGCTTGAGTGAGTGTTTCTAGGCAACCGAGAGGAGCCTGTGCTCAAATTTAAAGTTGCCCTTAAAGCTGCCTGCCTGCTTCTGCCTGGGTACACTTTTCTATCTATTCCTCTCTCCCTCCCTCTTTCTTTGCTGTGCAGTTGCCCATTTGCCGACTTAACGGTTTTTCTCTGCTTCTTGGTGCTTTTCATGCTCTGCTTTGTAAAGGGTTTCATAATGCCACAATGAGAATTTGTAAGGCATTTAAGTTAACAAATTCTATAATTAATATTATTGCATAAATAAATAAATAGCAGCTTGTAAAAGTATCGTATTTTATTTGAACTTTCGGCTGCCTCCAAAGAGACCTTTTCTTCCACATTTTTTGTGTTTTTTTTTTTTTGGTTTTTGCCTTTTGCCGTCGCCCTAACAAAAATGTGTATCTAGAAATATTTTATGCAGCAGGGGAGGAGCGGAAGAAGCAGCAGCAGCAGCAGGCACATCAATAGCAGGGGCCGCTCTTTGTTTGTGTGAGTGTGTGTACCTGCATGCATATGTAGTACATAAGTGTGTATATATATTTTGTGTGTGTATACATATATACATATATAATAGGCGGTGTCAAGACACATGTCCACATAATTGCCAAACGCGCAAAATCGAAGCCAAGTTCCAAACACACACACAAAAATACACACAAATATATATACACACATACACACACACACACACACACACACTCACACACATAGGCAGTCATGCAAAACCGTTAGCGCTCTCGTAGCCTAGTCACTCACAGCTAACCCTACACGCAACCACACCCCTAACCCCCAATTCCAATCCCAACCCACCACTCACCACCCTCCTACCACCTACCACCCCCCACATTCCCACCCGCAAGCAACACACTTCAGCTGCAGGTACAGTTGCGTTTGCAATCCGTAGTCACTGGAGTAGTTTAGTTAGTCGTAGTTGTAGCTGCTATTTCATAATTAATACGCAGCTTCTGTCGAATATTTGAATTTCTATTCAGCTACCTTAACCCCAAACCTCCCACTCCCCCTCTCCCTCTCCACCGTTGGGCTACGCTAATTGTCCTGGTGTATTTGGCATTTGCATTAACATTTCGTAATATTAATGGCCAAAACTGGGCACCCGGAACAACTGTGGCTAAAACTAATTTCCTGCTGCAGGTTAAACCAGCCAGCAGCAGCAGCGGCAAACGACATGTGTGGTTGGGTGTGTGTAAGTGTGTGTGCGTGTGTGTAATAGGAGGTAGTTGCTATATAATATATATGTTTATAAGTGGTTTTAGATATCATTTGGGTAATGCACTTTATGGTGACTAGCGATTGTTTGTTAAAGTCAAATGATTGACAAAGGTTTAATGTGATAAATAGTTGATAAGAAGATTGTATTGCTTTATAAAAACTTATGATTATAATGGAAACTTTTGCAGGAAAGGTGTGTTCTATAAAGGCACTACTTGCAACAGAACTAAATCATTTTCAAAAGAGTTATTTATTGTTAAAGTCGTTAGTTATTTATTGCCTGTACTAAAAGAAATATGCTTGAAATATTAAGGAAAGATATAAATATCTATATGAAAAATCGATGCAGCAGTTCTGCTTCCGCTTGGGTTGAGGAGACTGAAGCCTGATTTCCTTACATAATTATAGCCAAACTCTCCGATACACAATCTGGGAAATTTGCCAATCCACAGGAGTAATTTAACTGAATTCGGATGTGATTAAGCCAAACATGGCTCAAGGGGAACCTAAACTAATCGATATGAAAAATACATAAATCAAATTTAAGTTTATATATAAATAAAGCTACTTTAAATCCCCTTCCAATCCAAGCAACAAATCTGGGACCATTTTGCACTTAAATATCTCCAGAGATCTTTTAAATATTTCTTATTTTCTTTAATTAAAATATAAAGTACAATTTTATATTCTAAATTCATTTGAACTTTGTATTTTTTTTATGTCGACTTGACTTCAGTTGATGTTAAATAAATATATATGTATAAAGCAGACTTAAGTAAAGTTATTGTAAAGCGATTCAAATGTTAAAGGGAAATAGTAAAATAAAGTTCCAATAGTGCAAAAGTTAGTGTTTTGAGACATGTTGTAGTTCGTTTTCAAGCAGACTGAATATGCTTCAATAAATGTGTGTTGTGTTGTGTTGTGTTGTGTGTGTGTGTATCTACACTACATACACATGAGCATGCGGAAGGTGCCACCCCTCAATTTGAAAGGTTTCCCATGTACATACATGTATATATATAAATATATATGTGTACATAGAGTACATATGTCGAAACTGCAATAGCAATTCTGGATTGTGTGCATTACAATTCGAAATTTGCATTTCGTTGTGTGTGGATTTTGTTGTCGCAATTGTTGTTGTTGTTGTTGTTGCAGTTGTTGCGTTTCTAAGCCAACCATAGAAATAGAGAGAGAGAGAGAGAGAGAGAGAGAGCATACAACCAAACTATACAAACAACCCCCAGCCCATAACACCCCCAACCATTACCCTGGGAGAATGGAGCCTGGGCTGTGGCCCTGATCCGGGCTTGGGCGCACTACCGTTATAAAACGCCGCCCACGGGTCGTAGTTCAAGCATACACACACAACACACACACTCACTTAGATACAATGGGTAAAATACGAGCAGTGGGATATCATCGCATAGATTACGCAACTATTGCACACAACAACCAAAAAACAACCCCACCAACACTGCTTCCCCCACCCAACCACCCACTAAACTATGGCCGGTGGGTCCACCCCCGTGCCTCCGCCGGGCCATCTCTGCACTCTCACTCGCGACACATTTGTGCTACTCCAAAAAGCAAAAAAGAGGGACAACGACCAGCGGACCAAAACCACCCACTTCCCAACCACCCACTCCATACCCCGCCACAGTTGCTCTTGCAACAGAATCCACTCAAGCAGAACAGAACCAACCAAATAAACCACCCAAGCCTGGCCGCCCAATGCTGCAATGCTGTCCGCGTCGCAGTCGCCGTAGGCCTTCTGTCGGATGCTGCCCCTACACATCAACACCAGCCCCCTCCCTTCACTCACCACCCTCGCCATCCTCCCCCTCTCCGCTACTATTGCAGCTGCTTCGTTTTCGGCACCGAGAGGAGTCCCGAGTCCCGGATATTATATGCATACTTGAACTATGCGAGAG